AGTGTAATTATCATCATTGTTACACGTTTAAGGACCTTAGTTGTTGAAGCGTAGTAGTAACGTGGGAGAATTTTTTTTCTTACTAACTGCCGCAGGGAGAGACACAGAGAGCCAGTGTAGTCATGGTGGTGGAGCCAAGGCAGTAAAAGTGAGCACGGCTGTATCATAAACAAAGATGTTCACGAGTTTCATTTCTTCGTACGTGTCTGGGTCGTAGGTGTTGACGCATGGCTGTCATCTACGTCACCTACATCAGGGTTACTGTTATTTTCTCCCTAAAACAGAAAATCAGGAAAGGGGGGAAGGCGAAACAGGAGGAAGGAAGGGAGTGAAAGAGGAACAGAAGGACGGAAGAGCAGGGAAACAGAGGGAGGGGGGAGGGGGAGAGAAACAGGAGGGAAGGAAAGGGGGAGGGAGAAACAGAGGGAGAGAGACAGAAACAGATGGAGGGAAAGAGAAACAGAAGGGAAAAGGAACCGTAGGGAAGCATCGAAAGAGGAAGGAAAAGAAGGAAGGAAGGAGGGAGGGGGGTGGGGGGGGTAAGGAGAGAGGAACAGCTGGAGGAAGAGAGTAAGGTATAAGAGAGACGTAAGGGGGGTGGGGGAGGGAGAGGGCTGGCAAACATGACCGAGGAGATGGGTCAAAGGCTTACAAAACACACAGTCAGGGAACACATCAAGAGCCGAGCCTCAACACCATGCATTAACACCCATAAGAAGATACAGCAACATAGCAAAGGTTAGCGTGGTGGCTTTGTTCTTGCTGTTACATGTCGTGTCTAAGAGGTTGTATTGATTGCAACATTCTACTTGCACAACTCACTGTAGGTACCATCCCTCTATTGTCATTCATTTCTATAGAATCTTTGTCTTTGAGGCGATATGATTGCATTTTCTTGGTTTTAATTGGGGTTAAATATTTGTGGGGAAATTATATTGTATTTTTTGATAAGGGAAACATTTTAAGGAAATATGGACACGTAAGATGAAATATATAACAAGCAATTACCAGTTATTCGGTATTAATCACAGACTCTGGTAACACAAGGATCATTTTTTCGTGTCGCATTGAAATCACTACAGACGAGGTGGTGATAAGTCGTTAAGTTAACTTATATTTATTGTTTCTTCATTCCCACGCTGCTGGAACAAGTCACAGAGATACAGGTAACTCTACACTCGACACCTTTATAATTATTCATGTGAAATCTTTCTCTTGTGATCTATAGTGACACAGGTTGATGATGACCCTGTTAATAGCACGATTATTGTACTTATAATGATAACAATGGTTTATGATCACCACCTGTACCTGGGTTGAGGTAATTGGCCATCACTTATGACCTGAAGTTAATTAATGATGGAACAAAATATAACAATATTATGTAGTTTCATAACTTATACAAGAAATTAACAATTTGACCTTTCACCAAGTTTCTATTTTTCTCTGTAACTCCAACCTTATCTTCATTTATCATTCTGTTTATTCATCGCATCAAAAACCTAAATGAAATATTATGTTATTGATAAAATATAATCATTAAATTATATTCCCTGGCTATAATGTTGTCTTTCTAAGGATCTTCATTAGCTCAGTGACATCGGTTTCGTCTCTGACTTCGTGAACTTCGCTTCACCGGTAATGAAAGGTTTCTAACTGCTTCCGTTTTGGACAGCATAGTTTCTGCTTGTACTAATATTATCATGCAAAGATTAACGTAAACTCTGACAACGGCCGACATGTGTTGTAATGATACACCTCCTCTGATCACCTTAACAGAAAACACATCCAATAATTTCAATAAGTAAATAACCTTTGACCTCTGATACATCGTTTGGACGCTGCCTCGGGAGTTTAGTCTAGATAGTGCAAAGAACTTAAAGCCAGTGAAATGCCTTAACAGTAACTTGTCTAGAGAGGTGACGGGAACTTCCTGACGATGATTACACAGAAGATGTGATTAGAGTGGTAATTGTGTCTATGACGTCTTAACCGGACCACTTTGAGGTATTGGAGAAAAGTGTTGACCTTGGTATAGGTTGTTGACCCCAAATGACATTCTTCAATTGGACTGATTGAGTAATGACGCCGAAAGTTGGATAAAATGCCCATTTCTGATCATCTATTAACGGAAACTAAACTAAGTCAATAAACGTACAAATGAAAGTAATGAGAATCCACAACACTGATACCAGAACAAACCCTCACAGCTGTTCCGTTCTCAGCACATCAATGAAAAATTTTACCCATCAATTTTATGGTTAACTTAGCCATTATAGTGCCCACTGGGTATAAGAAACAGCCTCTCGCTAACGCCCTTGTGATCTGGTATACCGGACAGCACCACCATTACCTGTCAGAGCGTAAGATGAATAAGACTTACAGATCTAAATCTTCCTTGCTATAAGAAACCTGATATTACCTCACCAAGATCAGCGTAGAGATGAGGAGGGTGAGATGATATTTTCTCTAACATAGCTGTGAGAGTGTCGATGATTTTGTGTATGTATGTGTGTGTGTGTGTGTGTGTGTATTATGTGAAGTTAGTTTAAGTGACGAAGGAATAAAGAAAGTAAATGAGATGTTAAGGAAAAGGACGAAATCGGGGTTCCACAAGAGTGCCAGTTTAGTTGTACTACACACCTTGCCAAGAGCACTGGACCACATCCTCTCACCCCCCACCCCAGCCCCCCTCGGTACTCGTCTGTTAATACAATCCTACAAACATTCATTTCCTCAACAGCTGTCAACTATCACTACATATTTCCCCAAAGCATTAATTATGACAGACCTGTGTTTGTGTTGTTCATTCATTTAGGTTACTGAGTTAATGTAAAGAGTCTCTAGATGTAGGTTAGGTTAGTTTAGGTTAGGTTAGGTTAGGTTAGGTTAGAGGAGAGGCGTGGCAGTACCTGGGGGAGGATCTACGAGCTACATGAGGCGTCTGGAACACACACTTTCACTCCTATGTAATTGAAGTGTTACTGTGTGAGGTTATAAAGGGCCTATGTGCACCTTGAGACACAGCCAGGTGAATAATGACGTAACATCTTCATTAACCTTTACACCGACCATTTATATAACCCCAACTTAACTATATTCATGTATATTCACAAACATATATGTATAATTATAAAACAAATTCATGATCATTTGTTACCTATTCATAGAAGTGAGTTGGATTATCGGGATTATGACTCTACCTGTGTGTGTGTGTGAATCAGCTGAGGAGTAAAGGTGTGTTGACAGTCACCTGGTTGTGTGGTTTTTGTGAGATCATCATCACCTACAGTACACCAGGTGGGGTATGTTATCAAGGGCTCTGACGTCGTGGCTAGATGAAACCAAAACTTATGTGAGAGTTTTTTATAAGTCTAAGATTATTATTATTATTATTGTTAGTTATTATTATTATTATTATTGTTGTTGTTATTGTTATTATTATTGTTAGTTATTGTTATTGTTATTATTATTATTATCATCATCATTAAATAAAGCTACTTTATGTCGGTAGCGCCCCTGGGTTGAGTATAGCGAGGCCAGACAACTAAGGTTATGTCAGGATTATCGACCACTCTCGCCGGTATTAATCGTAAAGACATTAAAAAATCTTCCACTTTGATAACGAGGTTTGTTTTATTTAGTAAATGTTATGTCTTAAGACTAATTCACTTAACAGTAATAATGTTTAAAAACTGATCCTGAGCTTGAGTTGGATTGAATAGACTCATTGCTAGATATTCAGGAATACTAGTTGACCTTCTTTGTGCTGTTTCGTCGTGCGGCTGCAGCTTACAGGTGCGTCAACCAAATAAGCCCAGGTGAGGCCACACGAGCTATCAGCGTAACAAGAGCTTGGGAGTAAGACGCGAGAGGTCTGGACTACACACGCTGCTATACATCAGTCAGTGTTTATCTGATTTACCGTGAAGTCAAACCAAGGTGAACAACTTTTATAAAACGCTTTAACTATTAAGAAGAGCGAGACATTTAAATAAAAAAAAGCTTTAGCCAGAAGTGTAATTACAAATATTGATTTATTTACACGCACGCACGCACGCATACGCACTTGTATTGTTGTCATTGTGACTCAACTTAATATAATGTTAAAACAATAAAGTAATGAGAATCAACAACTACACAACCACTCTACAGACTGAATTAGTTCCAAGCACAGCCATAAAATCACTGCCACAGACAGTCTCGTCCTCCCTGACTCTCTATCCTCACTACTTGCCTTTGACACCCTCAACCTGCCACGTGCTTGTCTATGAACCCAGACACAAATGTACATGTACTGTACGTGGTTTGTTGACAGGGGTATCCAGATCAAGCGACTGTGCACCCCCCCCCCCTAACATAGGCCTCAGAGAACAAGACAGAGTTGATGCCTAACCTAACGTCTCGCCTCGTAAGGACACTGTTGAATTGTATTCTTGTTCAGTCAAAAGGAACCCTTAAAACTGTAATTAGGAAAGAACTTACTGATAAATTTGAAGTAAGCTGACAAGTCTTCCATGATGTATTTGGCTTTCATTTAAAACAAGAGCTTAAATTATCATTCCAACAATATATACATAAGAATGGAGGAAACTACAGCGGGCCTATTATCCCATACTATATAAATTCCTTAAAGAAATAGTAAATCTGAATCAGCCCATAAACAACAACTATCATCTCAATCACTGGAGATTCTTCCAATACCAGAATTTAAAGTAGATGGGTAGAAACAAAACAAACGCGAAAAGAATATTTACGACACAAAGCCATTTAAAATACATTAGCATTGTGAAACCGACAGATACCCATAACTTGTGTTGAAGACAAATGAAAGTATGGAACACGAGACCTCGGTGGGTGTGTGTGTGTGACTTGAACCAATGAACTTGTGGGGTCGGGTTAGGCCTACCCGCCCCCTAGGTGGCCTTGCTCTAGTTAGAGAATGGACCAGTGTCGCTCTATATAAAGGGAGACCAACCTTCCTCACCATCACAATCGACCATGTCTCTCAAAGTAAGGAGCTCTCTGGTGACCTCTCAGTGTTCTGGGCGTCAAAAAAACCACTTAATCTGATTAGTATTTGTTGATATACTGTAATGCCCTTGAGGAACAATCTCGTTAATTCAGGTTTTGTCTCACTCCCACAGACCAATGGCTACCAGTGTATAATATCAGTGTATTGTGTTGCAGGTGGTAATGTTGGTGTGTGTTATGGCGGCGGCTGTGGCCGACAGAGCTCCAGCCTACCCAGAGTATGCGGCGCCCCCAACATACCACATCCCCTCCCCTTATAAGCAGCCCGAGTACCCCACCGTGAGTATAGTACCACCACACCTGTGCACAATGATCCCTCACACTTTTATATATAATTACTAATCCTCTTAACAACACTCAACACATTTTTACTCACCTGTATTATTGTTTTTACTTCTCATCAAACAATATTTTTTTCCATGAATAAAAACATATTTCCTTGTATAAAAGTCATTAAGCAGTTTCTAATTCTCTGTTTCGTCTCTTGTTAACTTTACATATGCATAATTACCAAAATCATTACCTGTTTCAATATCGTAAATCATTTTCCATTTCAATTTATTTATGTATGATAAGCATTCTGTAAAACCTCCAATCATTTTTATTATTTCTTTTGGTTTCAGTAATAATGTTTTGTCATCAGAAAACTGTTATTACTTTTGAATCCAAATTATTTATTTTTGTTGTCACTTATCGCTGATACAATTAGCGGAACATCTTCCTCTAAGTTTTTTGGCCCATTATTTATTCTCCTTGGTTGATCACAATCATTCCAGGTGTCTTTATTATGTAAGATATTTGAGTTAGAACTATTTATTTCTTCTTACCAGGAGCCTCCGAAATATTCTTACAACTACGGTGTCGCCGACGACTACTCCGGCGCTAACTTCGGTCACTCGGAGGCCCGCGACGGCTACAAGACCGAGGGCAGCTACACGGTGGACCTCCCCGACGGCCGAAGACAGACCGTCACCTACGTGGACAATGGCGACGGTTTGGAGGCCGAGGTGACCTACGAGGGAGAAGCCCAGTACCCCGAGTACAAGTCCGCCCCAGCCTACAAGCCCGCCCCAGCCTACAAGCCCGCCCCAGCCTACAAGCCCGCCCCAGCCTACAAGCCAGCACCGGTGTACAAGCCTGCACCAAAGTACCCAGTCTACGGCTAAGTTTTTAAATGTGTTACGAGACGCAAGACCTCAAACCTATATCGGAACCTTAATTTATTTGTTTCAAGAAAAAGGAAGATCTTGGCTACAGGTGACCAGGGAATATTCCATCACCTACCCTGACTCAACCTATAACTCTCAGCCGGAACACCTTCTAATGTATTCATGGCAGATATATTATATGTAATTAATGATTATTTCATTTGTATTTCATTCATAGATATACAGTATATATTGAATTTATCAACTCGTCTTAATTCTATAACCTGTGTGTAGTTATGTGATGTGAACAAAGATGAGACATTACAGGTGATTAAACATTATAATGAACAGGAAGTAAAGAGAAAAGTGTCAGTCAGACTAAAAACATCACACATCACACACAGGATTTTAGGCCGAAACACTTTTCCTCTCGCGATTGAAATTTAAAGTGTCAACACACCTACACACATACAATCTTAATAATTTGTTTCTTTCCTGTGATACAAATTACATCATAAGTAACTCATTTTTATTTTCTTCACCGTACACATTCCGACCCTCTCATCATGTGTGCACAGTGCCTCCCTACCTGCTCCCAAACATACACAGTCCTTTCCTCCCTCCTCCTACCCCCCCCCTCCTTCTCTCCCTCCTTCCTTCTCTCCATCTGTTCCTCCTTTCTTCCCAATTTCCCGCCTTTCCTCTCCCTCCTCCTTCCTTACTAGGTGGTGTAAGTGTGGATCAGCCTCTCTCTCCCTCCCTCTTCCCATATCTCGGCTCATGTGGTTTGGGAGTGGATTAGTCAGCCTTCCAGCCCTCCTTCCCTCCCTCCCACTAACTCTCTCTCTTCGTCCCCCTATATTCAAGGAGTGACCACACCTCCACCCCGAGGATGTACTGCGAAGGAGGAAGAAGGAGGAGGATAGGAGGGAATAGAGACTGGTAATGTATAAGGAGATGGAGGAGGAAGTGTGGGAGGGTGGAAAGGAGAATGAGGGAGGGTGAAGGAGAGTAGAAGGGATGGAGGGAAGTATAAGGAGAAGGGAATATGAAAATAGGAGACGGAGAGAAAAAAAAGAAGAAAGAAAAGGAGTGGAAATGAGATGGAAAGAGAAAAAAAACACACACAGATAGATCTTTCGGTAACAAGACAGGGAAAGAGGAATAACAGACAGAATAAGAGACTGGCAAAAAGCTAGACAGACAGGGAGGAAATATATTGATAAATAATCAGAAGATAAAGGAATTAGATCAAGGATACACACAAACACACCCTCCCACTACAGTCCAACAAATAAATAAATTCACGTCAATAATGAACACCAAAGCCAAGAGGCGTAGAGTGGACAAAGGCAGCATGGTAATGAATGTTGGCTCATGTATGGGAGGGAGGAGGGGGGAGGTTACAGCACCGCCCTTATACCTATGGCGAAAGTACAGGGACGACAGACCGTATATAAACGGCTGCGTGTGCCTCCCTCACCATCACAACTCAGCCATGTCCCTCAAGGTATGGAGGAGATCATCTGCCAGACATAATACAGTGCTCAGTGTGACCAAGTGGAGGCTGAAGCTGTCTGTGGTGTTGAGTGTGAAGGATCTCCCTGATTGGATGACTGTGCTGATATCATAGAACCCAAGAGACACAATTATTTGAGTCAATATTCTGATTTAGAGTTTAAGACCTTGCCAACTCATTACTAGATATTCTTTTACTATGTTGCAGAATTGTAGTTGAATCTGTGACCATGTGTTTTGGAAATGTTGTCATTAAGTAAAGTTTTAAGGTTCACTGATACTGTTAGATTTCGGTGTTGCTAAGACAGATCTTTTGTGGTTGCTGAACAAATTAATCACAGTTTCCCTTCCCGTTTGACTGCTATAAACTGCACTATGTAAAGCCTCTTTCAGTTTTTGTATATTTACATTTTCATTTCAGTTAATCGTTGTTGCCTGCGTGTCAGTGGTGGCCCTGGCCGACCAGGCCCCCGTGTACCCTGCTCCTCCTGCATACGGCTACCCGGCCCCTCCTACCTACAAGGAACCCGAATACCCTGAGGTGAGAACAAACTATATCAATTAACGAACACAACTTGTGTTTTGTTGCAAACATGTCAAAAAATTTTTAGTGTTCTGTTTCTGCCATGTTTTATACAGTGACAGTAATGATAAATATTAGCTGACTAATTGTATTACAAGTGCTATTTCTAAATTCTATACCATACGGCTTCAGGCCCCACCGAAATATGCCTACAACTATGGCGTAGCCGACGATTATTCCGGAGCCAACTTCGCTGCTTCCGAAAACCGCGACGGCTACAAGACCGAGGGCAGCTACACGGTGGACCTCCCCGACGGCCGCAAGCAGACCGTCACCTACGTGGACAACGGAGACGGTCTGGAGGCCGTGGTGACCTACGAGGGCGAGGCCCAGTTCCCAGAGTACCAGCCCTCCTACCCCGCCCCACATCCACCTGTCTACCATCCCGCCCCCTCCTACCCCGCCCCCACTCCACCTGTCCCCACCTACGAAGAGTGAACCAAGTTACACGACGGAGAACTGAATGTCTTGCAACATTAAAAAATTTTATGACGTCTTTATAGATGTACTTGTTTTATTATTTATTGTTCAATGCTTGACTGAATAAATAGTATATACATTATCTGGGATTTTCTCGTCTACTTTTTCCAGTTTTCTTTCAGGTATATTCTTTAACCGCGTGTTACGCACTTGCCATTTTATTCTGGTTATCGCCAGACGATTTTATTCAGCTTAGGGTAACCTGCCGCTGTGAAAGGGTTAAGCCTCTCACCTGTACCTTACGTGTCAAGTGTTAACCAAAAACCGCTGAACAAGTTGATCTACTTATATTTTACAAAACCTCATTGGATTGCGGCGATCAGTGAATTACTTAGAAAATTCCATAATCAATCATAACTATACACATAACTAAGCAACAGTTTAATAAGTCATCGCTCAACGTGTTGTCAGAAGGTTAGAGGCAGATTATAAATTTTCGCTATTTATCGTAGTTACTGGAGTGTCCGGGATCTCTCACGTACACTAATATACAAGGACATTGTTTCTTTATATTTATCACCTGGTCATGTGTGCAGGTATAGACACATATTAGTGCCATTTACCTGTCAGGAATAGACACCGTACAACGCTCTCCTTTCTTTAGTATCCTCTGGTCTTCACAGTTGAGATGAAATGCGGTCGAGTGCGGTGACAGCCATTGTGTCTCCTTGTGTAGTGAGGTCCAGTGTTCCTTGATGCCACGAAAGGCTGATCCACTGTCAAGTTCATTCTGAAAATGACTAAACATATTTATCTTAAAAGGAGGGATCCGCAGGTATAGACATTATTAACAAAGTCTCATATAAATGTAATATTTGTATATGTTTATATATGCAAACATAAATTATTGCATATTTCAGCTATAAACATAAATTTAAGAAAACAAAAATAACATAGACAAGACGGACACATTATAAACAGAACATATAGAAACAAGGTCTGGTGAACAGGTGATCTCCTTCTGTCAGTCATTCTTTCAACACGAGACTTCATAGAGCTGGCTAAGGCAGCTAAAAGTAGAATAACTAATCACACAACAAGTGGAATCATACAAGGTAAGGTGATGCTATCTAGTGTGTGTGTTTGTGGGACATATCGTCTGATTCTTACCCCAGCTTACTTGATCATAATTGGTAAATAATTAAAACAAAATAAAAGTATGAGTTACATTTGTAATTATTAAATCAATCAAAAATACCATAATTACTATGTTATATAAATGATCCCTCAGAAAGCCAATATTTTGTTGATATAAATCAGCTGGAGTCAAAACGCGGGGACTCTTTCAGGTAATTAACTCCCTGTTCTCTGTATACAAAGTTTGGCCTCACCATCAAGGAAGTAAGCAAACAATAAAAAAAAATGCTTAATCACAGTCAAACAAAGACTTAATTACGAACCTTTCTCCCTCTCACTAATGGTACTCACTTCATGTGTTGAGCTCGTTTATCTTCGTTAAAACATCTTGACATTTCAGAGAATTTTAGTGCTCTATTTGCGCAGATACTCGAGTCTTTTACTTCCGCGTGAATTTCGTAGTTGTGGAATCTGACATTATGTCTTGTACGTATATATATGTATCATGTGTTTGTATGCATGTGTATTTGTTTGCATGTACTTAAGCGTGTGCATATATGGTATATGTAGGTGTGTGTGTCTTTCGTACACAGGAATACTAAACTAGCAAGAAAGTCTATCACTTGTTATCAAACGAGTGAACTCTTCAACAAAGTCAAGGGCAGAGCTCCAACTCTACCCTTAATACAATCAGGTAAATGATTCCTTGTATCTAGTGCAACATAGCAGAGAAGGTATGCAATTAACTAATGAATATTAATATACACCTTTCCCCGAGTGAAAGTTTGCATAATTTCAACAACTGTCCAACCGTAAATGTGTGTGAAAATTACTCTGAGATGACTAATTATCACGTAATTCTTCATCGGTAGAGAGTCATAGAGTCAACAGTATAATCTGAATCATTAAAATCTTTCTCGTTACTTTATGAACAATTTAAACGTAGTAAAAAAAAAAATCCTGATAATGTATGGACATTTTAAGCCACATCATAAAGACTTTTGTTAATATTGTAGGAAAATCCCATAAGATAAGTGCCTAAGAAATATCTCCAACGTTGAACAAGAACGAATAATCAGGTCATTGAACAAGAACGAACAATCAGGCCATACGCGGTAATTTGCGGTTTACTCCGGTGATCTGCGGTCATCTTCCCATAAGCTATGTAGAGGGAGATGTGCTCCAGTTGTCTTTCAGATTAAGTAATACACAATATACACATAAGGTATTATCATGACTGTACGTTGCTCTTATGCAGTGACGTAAACTGTATTATTAAAACCAACTAAACACACACAAATATATATACATATTCATCGATCGATAGAACAAGAAAGAAGTAATCAGATACTTATATAGAGAGAGACAGCTTCTCAGACAAACATAATCTATATCCCTTCCTTTTTCATAGACAGAGTGAATGAGAGAGATATATGAAGTGGCTGTCATGTGTGTTGTCCAGGTGTTATGTACGTGTGTGTGTATGGGTGTGTGTACTGTAGGTGTGGTATAGAGGGAGTGTTGGACGGCTTTGAACCACAGAAGGGAAAGCACGATCACCAAGCGCTATATAAGCATGGACGATGGCCCCTCACACATCACAGTATAACAATGGCTCTCAAGGTACTGTACCGGTCTGCTAGGGACAAGTACTTCACCGTCTTCTACTTCTGCGATAAATTAAACGCGTCCTTTTAGATGAATATTCTTTATTCCTAAATATATTTACCAAGTAGCGAGCTTTTTAACGAGTCGAGTCATTATTTACAATAATTACAATATCATTATGTTTTGGTCTATATAACTTTTATATATCCCCACAGTTGATAGTGTTGGTGTGTGTGGCAGTGGTGGTCCTGGGCGATCAGTCCCCCGTGTACCCAGCCCCTCCTGTTTACGGCTATCCTGCCCCGCCCCCTGAGTACCCCGAGGTCAGTAACTATCCCTCACTTCAGCATCAGTGAAGCTACCGAGTCACTGTTCCTATGATGGAATTAATTATAATATAAAAATTATTGGAGAATTACAAATGACTACATGAATTTCATCCTTATTTTCTCTCTGCATTCATTTTCGAATTTCATTGTAATTTCTAATGTATAATAATTTTCCTGCTATAGGATATACATTATGTAAATCATTATGACATTCACAGGTCCCTCCTAAATACACTTACAACTATGGTGTCGCCGACGACTACTCCGGCGCCAACTTCGGTCATTCAGAGAACCGCGACGGCTACAAGACCGAGGGCAGCTACACGGTGGACCTCCCCGACGGCCGCAAGCAGACCGTCACCTACGTGGACAACGGCGACGGTCTGGAGGCCGTAGTGACTTACGAGGGTGAGGCCCAGTACCCCGAGTACCAGCCCTCCTACCCCGCCCCACATCCACCTATCTACCATCCCGCCCCCTCTTACCCCGCCCCCACTCCTCCTGCCCCCACCTACGAAGAAGAGTAATCGAAATACTGTATACACAACTGAGCAGCTTCACCGAGCCTACACGTAAGCCTCTAGTCAACAACCTCATTACCCCGAGAAACTGACGATTAAAACTTAGTGTTTCTCAGTGCATGTTCCTATACCCAGAGATTACAACTATATAATTATCTGTCTAATATATGGTGCCATTGTTGTATGACTCAAATAAAATTTGTTTTCGTCAAAGTCATTTTTACTTGAGAACTCGTCCACCCCTTCTTCCTGTATCTCAGGAAACATAATACCAAATAACTCTGATGACTCTTTGATGACACAAGAAGAAAAATAACCTTGGTTACTGTTCCTACAGCGACACGTAAGTTAAATAATATATGCGTATATATATATATATATATATATATATATATATATATATATATATATATATATATATATATATATATATATATATATATATATATATATATATATATATATATATATATATATAAGAAAGAGGCCACGAACGTACAAGCCTAGTCTGATAAACACTTTGACCGTGACCTATGACCTATTTCTCCCGATAACTTTACTTATTTTGGTCAACATCAAATCCATTTGGTGACTTCATATGAATTGGCCGGTTCATTTTTTGAGGTATTTTATAGCCACATGCATATACTATAAGCCTTGCTTCCCACAGGTGATCGTCTCTTACAGGAGATAGATAATGTAACAACTCAGTGGCTGAGGGTTCTGCATCACGTTCTTTGTCAATATCTTACTGACATTCACTATTGCTGATTACTTTTGAATAATTATCTTGAAGACGGTAATTTGTACGTCAACGGTTATTATCACTTTTACTTGTTCGGTTTGTCATAGAGACCTTGTCTTACATTTCCCATAATAAGGAAGATCGTGTGTACTAAGGCAGAATTCTTAGCACAGACTATTTATACTAACACTTCAAAACTCTGCTACAACTACTTCCATCTATTCAGGGTTTTGCTCTTATTATGATATCCACACTCTAACAGCGATGGACCAAAACCTCCAGATCTCACCAATGGCCATCTGTTACTGTTACATCCTCGTCTGTAGTAATCAGTGGTCGGGATGGCCACCTACCGCTCGCCTCTCGTCTCCACCACATGGTTGTCTGCAGTGATCACAGCTCCATAACCACCCATACTCTGTGCTCCTTTATGATCAAAAACTTCACAACCAGAAGCGTTATTTAGCTCAAGAATTACAAGTACAGATATAGACATGATAACGAGGAAGTACTTCTCGTGTAATGGTCGTAATGAGACGTTAAGACCTATGGAGGAACACAAAGACTTCATCAGCTTGTCTGTGGCCTCGTAAGGTTCCTATCCACTTCCTCTCCTGAAGGTTTTAAAGCCAATAGTTGTTACGGGTAAAGGTAAAGCTTCATAGAACACACATATCCAACAATTAACAAAAGGCACTTGAAAAAAGACACTCAGAATACAAGATCAAGTGTCTACAGGCAGTCCCACAACGTTAGACATACAAACACCCACAAGAACGTACACTGGTATAATTAAAGAAATAAACACAAAAACACTAAAAAAACACCTGATGTACATCCCTCAGTATGACGAGGTTCTGTCTCCGTTGATAATGACGTTACATAGAGATTGATGTATCTGTACTGTTGACCTAAATTTGTACTGATTTTTATGAATAAACTTTTGTAACTTTATTAATATCAACTGAACTCAAATATTCAATTATCTACCTTTTCAGGGATGAGCTATATTCACCTGTACTAACCGATATACAATGAGCTATAAACTATGGTAATAGGGTATTTACTTAACACTAAAAACACGTCACAGTTACAGGGTGACCACGCCCAGTTTACGACTAGTTTAAGACAGTTCTATAAAAGTTACTTCTTCAGATTTCAATTTTTGTGAGAAATGTTTAAATCAGCCATTAGGATGAAACATAGTCACTTATACTGTATATGCAATAAGGAACTGTCTTAAGGAGCTCAACTGTCAGTGTAGAGCAAAATAGTATTCCTTAATATATTTATAAATAATACCACAGATAGATGACGGCCTGGGTATATACGAAGATACACCTGACGCCCTAAGACATAAGACAAGAGGTATCAAATGGTAAATATCTACCAGCTAGAAACAACAGTCAGTCCTCCTCCCTCACTGTTCTGTTGCGTAACTTTGAAACAACAGAGAAAGTAACTCAGTCGACCAGTATATAAACACATGGCCGTCTGTCTCACCATCACAACTCTGCCATGTCCCTCAAGGTACAGACATCCCCCGACAATTGCCCATGGTCCTGTGTTTCTTGTGATTACTACGTTATATGTACACCAGTGTGTATGTGTGTGTGTGTGTGTGTATGTGTGTGTGTGTGTGTGTGTGTGTACTAATTATAATAATTTACATTAATAAGTTGCAATAGAGAGCTTAAAAGCGGCTTAAATCCCGTTTGATACAATTAACGTTGTAGCTAATGTAGCATAATTATCAAATCCAGGTGTAATTACAGTTCACATTGAAGGTTCCCTCAAAAGCAGTTTCAATTTTATGCAAAGAAAAAGTATGTCTGGACAGGTCGGGATTTTTAGCAAGATGAGATAAAAAAAATAAAGACTACACGACGAATACATAAAAAACAACAACAGTTTGTACAGTAATATTTCACGTGGAGTACAGCAAGGTTACAGTCCTCTAGTGAAAAGAAGAATTTCATAATTTCTTGTGGTGATATTCTCATCAGCCTAAGTGGGAGACATATTTATTTCATAGAATGTAATAGCTCTTTCTATTAACGAAGATACTTGTCGCATTCCCACGAGCACCTTTACAGAAGTTATCATTTTTGACAGGTTATCGTCACAGCGTGTGTGGTAATGGTGGCGGTGGCCGACCAGGCTCCTGTGTACCACGCCCCTCCTGCCTATGGCCCGCCTCCCTCCTACCATGCCCCCCAGCCATACCATCAACCCGAGTACCCGGAGGTGAGAAAGTATTTGTGTGTTTGGTGATCAGAATGGATCAACCAATCTCTTGAATTTTGATATTCAAAAATCTTACAGAAATATTACTGTTAATTCGAAGGATTTCCATGTATGGAATACTGTGCAGTGTATTACTAAGTTATTCTTATGATACCTCAACAAAGCCGTGAACATACATAGATTGTAAATTTCTGCACTCCTTCATAAACAGGTTCCTCCCAAGTACACTTATAACTACGGTGTCGCCGACGAATACTCCGGTGCCAACTTCGGTCACTCCGAGGTCCGCGATGGCTACAAGACCGAGGGCAGCTACACGGTGAACCTCCCTGACGGCCGCAAACAGACCGTCACCTACGTAGATAATGGCGACGGTCTGGAGGCCGTGGTGACCTACGAGGGTGAGGCCCAGTACCCTGAACACCAGCCTTCCTATTCTGCTCCTCCCGCACCCTACGCCCCTCTTCCAGCATACGAGCCCGCCCCAGCTTACCCTGCTCCTCCAACCCCAACTTACGCCTAAACCTCTCGTCCAATAATAACAAAATACAGGCAAGACTTTAGGGACCTTTTGATATGGTCTTTGCTCGAGATATAACTGAGTATTATGTATATATATTTGTATAAACTGTCATGGCAATGTTGTGAAATAAACATAATATACTGTAAATCTCTGTATTTAATTGAGAGTTGAAAGCAATTCTCCATCCTAGTTCATTGATGCTTCCCCGTGATGATTATTATACCATCAGAGAGTCAGTAAGATTTATAGAACTTGTTAACATAACATAATGACGCGCTTTGTTTCATTTCTCTCTGCATAAAACCAGCAAAACTGACATATTTATAACAGTTGTCAACAGTAAAACCAGTGCTCGTACATATCCTAATTTGAGAAGAAAATAATTTTATAAAAACCTCTAAGGCCCGAATTCAGAATGCTGGTTTGAAACCGCATGAAGGTTTAAACAAAGGATCGAGCGAAGATTGAAGATTGTTGGTATTCAGAACGCTGGCTTAAACCAACACAAGGATTCAAACCGAGTTTGAGATCGGATATGTCGAACCTCGCGTTAATCCAGCTTGGAGGAAGGTTGAGCGGTCGTTCCGTCATTCAAGATAGCAAGTCAACATGAATTTTGACAGAGTGCGCGTCTCCGCAATATCGTCAGATTGAAAATTTTGTAGAGAGAAAACTGATAGTAGATAGGCAGAATCCTATCACTTTCTTGATGATACGCAATTCAGACAACGACATAGGTTCAGCGAGGGAGATTTCCTTGATATTTTCTGCGATATGGAGCATCTACTTGACAGACCTGTTGACTATGGTTCACCTCTACCTCCCAATCATCACCTGATGATTGCTTTGAGAGTCTTTGCAACGAATAGTTTCCAGGTAAGAAAGGTTCTGGCTACTGAATGAGTTATAGTAATGTGTTACAGCACTTTCGTGTTTCGGGTCCATGAAGATCAAGGGAGTAAATGTAAATATTACAAGTGAGAGTTCCATCGTTGGTTGTGGATTCGCAACGTGAACGTCTTTTGTTTGTGACGTCATTTCTGCCTCGTCCGCTCGCTTTGTTTACTTTAGTATGGGCCCGGCAGTGTTAAGTTAAGTACAGAGTATCTCCTTTCTTATTGTACAGTATGTTTCTAGTGGTATAACGTGTAAACCTTGCTCGACTTTTATAACACCAAGTAAAGTATTATTTGTGAAAGATTATTGTTAATCATATTTTGGAGTTCCACGGAAAATAACTTATACTTTTGTGTTCATTATTTTGTCACTCGGTTGAGTCATTTATTTGATCAGATTTAACTTGTATTTGTTTATTTTTGTACACTCGGTTACTCAGATTTAACTTGTATTTGTTTATTTTTGTTTACATTGTTTATTTGTTAATATATTCTGTTATTAAAACTACTGCATGTATTTCAATATACCCCATAGTAATGAGGTGATAATTTGGTGGGATCTATTCCTGGACCTATAGTACAAAGTGTAATTTGTAAATTTGTGATATTGTTACACCCTTAAGAGGCCCAAGGGTCGTAACATAATGAACACCGAAGCTTCTTTATTTTGATTGTTTTCTTAAGGAAAACTATTTTAATGTATTTTCAATAAACTGTAATTGAATCAATACTGAGTGCATTTTGATTTTAATGCATTAATAAATGAAATTCTTCTTAACATTACTAATCAGGGGAAATGTGGGGTAAAAAGAACAGAAAGAAACCTAACCGAACCTATCCTAGCCAGGTTACTACTCCCTGCATTGATTCATTTTGCTTCGGTTACGAATATTGACACTTGTCCCGGATTGTATCTACATTTTGTATGTAATTGTTCTTCCTCTATGATTTTTTTATAGTATAACAATTTGATTGTAATTATAGTAACTCGTTGAGTCATAGTTGCCGCCATAATCTTGCTTGGAATTGAAGATAATGCAACCGGGATGCAAGCCGATGCTCTGAATATGGATAATCCACTGCAGGAAATCTCGGATCGAGGAATCCCGATTCGCACGCCTGAGCCGAGCTCAAATCACCATTCTGAAAGCAGGTCAAGATATCATATTTTATTTCCCAGTCCCCTGAAAATATATTTTCAAAAGTAGACGGTAAGTAATAATTTAAAGGAGTAATAATTTTATGACCTAACCTAAGTATATGAAAAAAAAATATTCGTGATTTTGTTTACTTTACCAGCTAATGTCGTAACTAATTTTTAGGTCTTCCACATCTTGACTAAAATTATTATTATTATCAATATTATCATTATTAATATTATTATTAACTACGTCATATTTCCATTTGTAATATACATTTTTTCCTTTTGGAAATATTAGATGCAGATTACAAAAAACGATAGCAGGTCTTGTCATTATAAGGCAGTTTGACTTAGCATGCGATAAGATAACACAGAAAATGGGTCTCTTCCCGCATAATGAAAATCGAAACAAAATTTAACTCAATATTTTTAGTATTTTTCCCATCAGAAAACTTACGTGGTTAACAGTGAATACATTATAAGCTCTTGTAAAATTCTTATATGTATGGACGTGAATCTATCATAAAATTGTATTGCAAATAAATTATGGGATCGAATGAAATTTATCCACCCAAACAAACTTCACATGATGAATGACCACCATAACGCTACCTGGGGCGGGTTAGATTAGTTTAGATTAAGTTAGGTTAGGTTAGGTTTGATTAGGTTAGCGTTAGGGTGTTTCATCCCCATGTGAAATACTCTGGGGTGCCTAATCTTCACATGATCCAAATTAATTTACTGTTTCACATCAATAGTAAGATTAAGGTTAAATAATTCTGTACTCTTACGTGAATTAATATTCGAGTCGTGTTCGTATGCGGTATAAGTTTACAAAAGACTCTGTTCTGATGTGTCACAGCAGTTCAAACCATCTCACAATGTTTCTTTTCTCACCCTCTTGTTAGAAATAAAATTAGATAAAAATAAGCAGTTTATAATACATATTTTCTTCTCTGAATTATATCATTATAGATCACAAGGATTTTTTTTAATTTTTTTGGGGGGCATATCACAGAGTAAGACAGGCAGTTTGGAGTTTGATAATCTTGCTGCATATTTGACCAAAACTGTCAAGCCTAAAATAAAAATATCAGAACCCATATTATAATCATTTATATACCTGTAATAAAAAAAAGGAAGAATTATTATCGGTATTGTGGCTTCAAAAGACATTTACAAAGTCGTTCAAGTGTAGACAGTCATGGATCGAGGAAGTAATTTCCCCGTAAGTGAGAAGTGTTAACCACAGCCAGGCGTTACCATAGACATCCCTTAGAGCAGTGTTGTATGACCTTGAAACACGGGGGAAAGTATCGCTCTACCTCTATATAAACACAGCAACTTCTGGCTCATCATCACAACACCATCATGTCCCTCAAGGTACTGACTGCTCTTATCGTGTCGTGTTCTATCATCCAGTACTGCTGTTATGTACTGTAGTGTCGACTGTGCTTACCTTTCAGTGTCATATAGTTAAGATACAGTTATATGGAATAGAATTCTGTATAACGATAGAATAACAGGCATAATCGTCTGGTATTTCCTTGTCTCTGGAAAATGGTGTTTTAATTTTAGTGTTCGAACTTACGCAGTCTTTCGAAAAACCCAGATTCGTATCATATCACCTTAGATTACTTAGAAAATGAGACGAAACTTATTATTGTTAGTGGAATTTACTTAAAATACTTAGAATTCAAATATAAGGAATTTATTTGTACTTATAAAAAAAAATTTTCAGGTTATCGTCGCAGCGTGTGTGGTAGTGGTGGCGGTGGCCGACCAGGCTCCTGTGTACCACGCCCCTCCTGCCTATGGCCCACCTCCCTCCTACCACGCCCCCGACCCCTACCACGCCCCCGACCCCTACCACCAGCCCGAGTACCCAGAGGTAAGACAAAAACATCACATATGATAATCATAGACATATACTGTATGCCTTAATGACGGTTATCATTCTTCTTTCAAACCAAAATTACTTCTATACATATTATGTGAATAAATTCATTATAACATCATTCTCAAATGAAAACAGTAAATATCTGCAACATTATTTACAGGATAACCATAATTGACAATGGTTATGAATTTCATTATACGAATCTCATTTTACAGGTTCCCCCCAAGTACGCCTACAACTACGGCGTCGCCGACGAATACTCCGGCGCCAACTTCGGTCACACTGAGACCCGCGACGGCTACAAGACCGAGGGCAGCTACACGGTGGACCTCCCCGACGGCCGCAAGCAGACCGTCACCTACGTGGACAACGGCGACGGTCTGGAGGCCGTGGTGACCTACGAGGGAGAGGCCCAGTACCCTGAACACAAGCCTTCCTATCCCTCACACCCCGCCCCTTACGCCCCTCCACCACCAGCCTACGAGCCCGCCCCCACCTACCCAGCTCCCCCAGCCTACGCCTAAGCCTCTATTCTCATATAGACAAAAGATTTCAACCAACCAACCATCAGAAGGATTGTTGACATCACCCCATGATGGTTTGTTTAGTTGTGTATATTTCATACTATTTATAATGCAGTGATATGAAATTATTATATTTTATCAGGTAATATTTTGTTTTACGCCCGATGTGTACCTTGATGTGGACTGAGAATGTACCAGATTACCTGAACACAAACCCACAGTTATTTCCCTTGAGGATTAACCACCCTAACGCCTTGACGAGAAATTCAAGTAAAAAAAAAAACCTGCTAGCCCAGTCTTACTGAACTTGAAGTGGAGATCAAATTAATCATCATAATTGTAGACATTAATATTTGGGATGTTAAGCTCAACTGCCCATGTTAATTATGACCAACACTCGTCTGTCTACCGCCTGATAACAAGGAATATGTTAACAGATAACTATGAAGATATACAAACCCAAGTTCATCTTTAACTGACACAAATATTGATACCTTAATTGGATTACATAGCTCCCGTAAACACACTCAGGACTCGCACAAGAACAGAGTAAAATAAAAGGTAGAATTATTCCTTAGCTGCCATAATATTCTCCAAACCCTGACTTCACCATCACTCAACCGCCGACTTAAAAGCCTGAAATCTAGTCTAAAATGGCAGAACAGTGTTAGCTAGCCTCAAGCACCGATACCTCAGACCACCTGCTGCAAACTCTACTCATGGGTGGAGCTTACTCACGACATTCACAACTAATTCTCTCTCTCAGGTGAGGAACTGAACACTCCTCACCTCCTCTAGTCACTACACTCTATATAAACTCCTCGATTGCGTAACCTAAGTTCTTACATTAGAAAGAAACTCCAAATGATTCCAGTTTGTTTATCGAGAAGCATTACCCTGTGATGTGATATTAGGTGTTGTAGGTTTATGTGCTTGGAGGTATGGGGCCTTGATGTGTATGTGGCCTTGTTGTGTACGTGGCCTTGATGTGTACGTACAACATCAGACAGCCTTAAACAACGTCTCTATGAAAACATGAGAAGAATTTTCACGCTGGTCTCCCGTAAAGTATGATCCTCACTGTCACGTCCACTGTCACTGTCACCAGCACTGTCACTGTCACGTCCACTGTCACTAGCACAGTCACTGTTACGTCCACTATCACTGTCACTGTCACCAGCACTGTCACTGTCACGTCCACTGTCACTGTCACTAGCACTGTCACTGTTACGTCCACTGCCACTGTCACCAGCACTGTCACTGTCACGTCCACTGTCACTGTCTCCAACACTGTCACTGTCTCCAACACTGTCACTGTCTCAAACACTGTCACGTCCACTGTCACCTACAGTCACTATCACCTCACTGTCATTGTCACGGGCACTGTCACTGTGACTGTCACCTACACTGTCACTGTCACCAGCACTGTCACTGTCACCAGCAATGTCAGTCACTTAGCTTCACCACCCTCCCACTCTCTCCCTCACAGTGATCACCAAATACCTATCACCTGAGAGTCAGTACACTTAGCCAGGATAAAGACCAAGGTAAACCAACCCAACCACAGTAGTTCTGTCGTTAACACTACTGTATAGTTGATCAGTTCCTTTTTTAAGATAAGCGTAAGGCAATTTATTAATGTATTTATTTATTGTTAATTACTGTTTATTTTGCCTTCTTATTTCGCGAGTTATCAAATGTTCCTTTATTTGTGGGTATACTGTACACTGACTACTCTCTCTGTAATCGCTTTCGCTAACAAACACCTTCATAAAGCTCGTTTCACCACACAGCTTTCACATCATTATTTTCATACAACCATTTTTAAAGAATTTATTGTGTTGCCACCTGTCAGGGAGTATCAAGTGTTTCCCTTCTCCGCCTGAAATTGTTTGTTGTTTCCCTCATAGTTTGCGTTTGTTTATATATATATATATATATATATATATATATATATATATATATATATATATATATATATATATATATATATACATATACAAACCCATATATATTTACTTCGCGATGTAATGATTCATGAGAAAAACCCCACAATGGCAGACAAAGTGGGTTTCTTTTCATACATTATTGTCCACTTTATGGTGACTCTCCGACCATAATGATTCATCTATTTTACTTTTGCTTGTCTGTTTATTCATTTATTCACATTTGTACAGCCGGTGAAGAAATCGAAATTGACTATTACATCAATGGGATAGGGTAGTGTACTCCTCCTACCCTCACCTTTGTCATCCCTTTTGGGGCCTTACAGAAAGTTAAACATCATAACATTGGTACATTGGAAGAATTTTGAACAATGTATTATTTACAGTAATTAAATTAAAATAGATTATTTTGAGAAATACTACATTAAAAGAACAGATAATGTATTCTTACACAGTGTTGTAGAGTATGTACCTCCATTGAGTCATGTGTAAATTCATTATTATTCATACGGCCGGTAATGTTTCATATCAGTGTGAATAAAAATACAACTTTGAGATACTGTAACTTGTGGAAGGCTGTAGTGACCATCACCTTGGCCTGGAAACACTCATAACAGGTGAGGGCCTCGTGTGTTGCAAGTAATATCTGGGTGTAGTCAGGTTGTGTTCTTTAGTAAATGCGCGAGTGACATGTACTTATGAAACACACTTGACACACGTTAGTAAGGAATAGAGGAGGGATATCCTTAAACAAATACGCGCTCGATGCTGACGAACGACGTAAAAATCAATATGTATTTTTCTTAAGACTGCATTTACCAACTCGCTTCGGGCAACTCTTGTAAACTTGACACTGTAGTGAGATACGGCTTATTTTCCAAGTGTGGATTGCCATATAGGGTTAAAAAGTTACAGCCCAAGCGGGACTTATCCATGTATGACATCTATGCCTGTGACATCAATCTTCACAACAGCTCCACACAGTTAACATCCACGAAACCTTCCTCAGTTAAAACGTATCTGAACCGTTCCAAATTCCTCATGGAGACGCTGATCAAATTTACCATCCTCAGCTATAGGCTTCCGTTCACCAGTTCCTGTTTACCTCATTAACGTTGCCTAAGTCCAAGAGATTTCGTTATTCTCAACAAACCATAAGTGACACTTTGTGGTGGTGAGGTACGGTGTCGCATCTGTGCTAATGTTGTCAACAGCCTCAGGTTAAGTGAATTTCCGGCTTTGTTGTATTATGTATTTACTTTCTTTATATCATCTTGACTACAGCGTTTATTGAAGTTATTTCCTGTAGTAATAACAAGTTTATTTTAGTACATTATTACTTTCTTGATTTTTAACAGCTTATTAATAATTTTGGAATTATTATATATTAAAGTGTTCAGTTCGGATTTATAATGAATTAGGAAGTGTGTTTTATTTAACGTGAAATAAGAAAAAATTAACAAATAAATATACTAAACAAGAAGGAAGGAAAGTGATGAACTAGACATCCTTTATCAAGCAATGATAAAAAAAAATATTATGACCTCTAGAACTATATTATTTCCTCCTTTATGTGACCTTTGACCTAACCTTTGGCCATACAGTAAATCTATATCTAGCATTGGATAAAGGTAATGGTAAACAATATTATACAACCGTTCTAGCAATTAATGAACTCTGACTTATCAAATATACTTAAGAAATCTTTATCATCTCCAAGTTAGAATACGTAAGCAATGTAGGTTAAGAAAATCGTACCTCAGCATAAAACACAAAACATTCACACCTCCGGGAAAAAAAATGTAAGAGAATTACTTTATGACTGAAAATACGAGCTGGCATCTTGATTGTGACGGTCGGTTCATTTACTAAAACGTACATACTGTTCCCCTAAAGATGGACTGGGAGATGAATCCAATTAATTATTTCTCCCAGGAAGAACATCATCACCCACTTCCTATATGACAGGAAACAAAATACAGTGGACCTTATTTCGTACCCAGATGATTAATACTGTGGAGGACAGAATTGCAAATAACGAAAGTCAGAAGACGAGCAGATGTGGCGACACAGTCACTAATTATAAGCTAAATGGACTTAAGAATGAGCCTAAGTGGCATAACAGTTGCTTGTTGGAATAATAATAAGCATGCAGCTGATGCAACAGGCGGTAGTTCTGTGTTTGGGGAAACTCTGGCCAACCTAAAATTAGTCAAGCCAACGCTCAAACGGGTGTGCTCTCTAGTCTCTAATAACTCCTTAATGGCGGTAATATTTTCACTAATCAGTAATACATTATACCGAAATTATCTTGCACTTTATGACCACGTTACATTTAATTGATGAGGCAATGTAACAGCTCATGTTCTTCAAGATGATTAATCGAGTCACTAGAGGTGTCTGGCAATAGAACTAACCGGAACAGCTGAGAACATCTGCGGACGTTTATAAGTGAAGGGACGCCCACCGCCTCGCAGTACAACCATGTCCGGCAAGGTAAGTAGTGTGTAAATGTCTTCCGTTCTTTAACATGCACGAATCAACCATAATAATATCAACTAAATGACAATATTATGATTGTACAGTCGGGGTCAAAAGTTCGCTCCTTCCCAAAAATGAAGCAGCATCGACCCCAAACGAGATGCAACAGTTTGGGTAAGTCAACTCAGAGACTCATTCCTGTGAATCAGTTTCACCACGGGGAGCAAAATTTGTTCACAACTGTACATGCCCTATATCTGTTGAGTAAAGTCTAATAACATATGCATAAAATATGATTTACTCAGCATTCTATATTTCTAAATTGTACATAAGTGTGATACTAAATGGTAGTCAAAATATATTATACATACATGCAGACAAAACACAAGAGGCAGTAAAAAACACAAACATTTTCTGCTTAAAATATTCAACATGAATTACTGAAACTCAAACAATCGTACCCGACTTGTTTTTCCTCGTAGCTACGGTTAAAACACATATCTAATCACTCTATTGGAAACTATATGGACACACCTTTGAAAATCGAGGTCAAAGAGTTGTGTTGTGTTGTGTCGCGTTGCAGGTGTTGAGTAGTGTTGTGTTGTATTGCAGGTGTTGATCGTCGCCTGTGTTGCCCTAGTGGCACTGATCCACCCAGTCTCGTCTTTCATCAGTCTACCCAACCCTACCATATTCTACCCCTCACGCCCCCTACGCCCTCGTCCCTACCCGTTTTATAGACATCCAGTTCGACCTTACCCCTCTAGAGCACCTATGACGTATTCCACCCGCTCACCTCCACCCAGAACCTATACCAGGCACCCACCTACACCCAGAACTTACCCCACGCACCCACCTACACCCAGAACTTACCCCACGCACCCACCTACACCCAGAACTTACCCCACGCACCCACCTACACCCAGAACTTACCCCACGCACCCACCTACACCTAGAACTTACTCCACGCACCCACCTACACCCAGAACTTACCCCACGCACCCACCTACACCCAAACTTACCCCACGTACCCACCCACACCCAGAACTTACCCCACGCACCCACCTCCACACCTAGAACTTACTCCACGCACCCACCCACACCTAGAACTTACCCCACGCACCCACCTACACCCAAAACTTACCCCACGTACCCACCCACACCCAGAACTTACCCCACGCACCCACCTACACCAGAACTTACTCCACGCACCCACCTACACCCAGAACTTACCCCACGCACCCACCCACACCTAGAACTTACCCACGCACCCACCTACACCTAGAACTTACACCTAGAACTTACTCCACGCACCCACCTACACCCAAAACTTACCCCACGTACCCACCCCACACCCAGAACTTACCCCACGCACCCACCTACACCCAGAACTACCCACACCCAGAACTTACCCCACGCACCCACCTACACCCAGAACTTACCCCACGCACCCACCTACACCCAGAACTTACCCCACGCACCCACCTACACCCAGAACTTACCCCACGCACCCACCTACACCCAGAACTTACCCCACGCACCCACCTACACCCAGAACTTACCCCACCCGCCCACCTCCACCACCCACAGTCTATCCCACCCACCGCCCACCACCCAGGACCTACCACACCCGTCCACTTTCCACAGCTGCGCCTCCTGTACCCCCTACTACTGCGTCTTACTCTCCACCAGTAAACTATCCCGTCTCCTCGTCGCCTCCTCTATCACCTCCCCCGGCGTACGCTCCACCCCACCCCACCCCCTACGAGGAACCAAAATACCCAGAAGTAAGTAACACGTGTTGATTTTTCCCTCCCTCAGTAACTTTTGTCTTATTCTTTCCTAGCATGAAAAGTTTTGCTTTACATCACCGATCAATTTACTCATTATAAACACAACAAATCATTGGATTATGAAGATATTAATCGATTTTCCTACTCTGGTAATGGAATGGAATACAATTTTAAGTGGACCATTAATTACTGATGATATAAAAGGTAAACAAATACATTTAATAGCTAATTATTACTGTGTTTAGAAATTTCTGGCTTCTGTTATCGTGAGACAAAAGAGTCTTAAAGAACACCATGTTTATTTGATGTGATGTGTCTTCCCTCTTTCAGGAGACCCCAAATTACGCCTACTCCTACGCCGTCGTAGGTGACCGCTACTCTGGTCCCAACTACGACCACTCCGAGACCCGCGACGGCTACAAGACCCAGGGCAGCTACTCTATAGACCTCCCCGACGGCCGCAGGCAAGTCGTGACGTACGTGGACACTGGCAATGGTCTGATGGCAGATATTACCTTTGAGGGGGAAATCAAGCTTCCCCCTAGCTACGCACCTGCCCCTAGCTACACACCTGCCCCTAGCTACACACCTGCCCCTAGCTACACACCTGCCCCGAGCCATGACCTTATTCCCAGCTACATTGGCGGTCCCAGCTACAAACCCGCGCCCTCACACCGTCCGTACGCTTAAGTGTCATTCACTGAAGTAGTTTTATTCTACTGGTTGACTGTTCAGGGATTTCACTCCATGTTTGTTATAGTGTGTCATTTTACCATATATCATCAGTAGTTACCAAGCAGCGCACGCTCTTACTAACTACCTTCTGTTAAAATTTCTTATTCTAGTGATATATTAATAATAGGATTACCATAGACTCATCAGGTAGACGATAATACACACGGAAGCTACCTGTACACTGAGGCTACCTGTACACTGAGGCTACCTGTACACTGAGGCTACCTGTACACGGAAGCTACCTGTACACGGAAGCTACCTGTACACTGAGGCTACCTGTACACGGAAGCTACCTGTACACGGAAGCTACCTGTACACTGAGGCTACCTGTACACTGAGGCTACCTGTACACTGAGGCTACCTGTACACGGAAGCTACCTGTACACGGAAGCTACCTGTACACTGAGGCTACCTGTACACGGAAGCTACCTGTACACGGAAGCTACATGTAGACGGAAGGTACCTGTACAAAGAGAGAATATGTATATAAACCCCCTTTTTTTATTTATTTTGTAGCTCGGTTCACTGCTGAGAATCGAGGGTATGAGAGACTATAATATATCCCATTGAAATTGTACGATCATTGGAAAAATCAACTAAACATTGAAAAATTTGTTTGTTTGAGAAAAAATAAATAAAATATCAACATTATAGACAATTTTAAAACTATGGACATTCTGATCTTTATAAAGTGTTACGTATATCTTATCATTTGCAAGAAGGATACGGAAGAATTCTACAACCTTGAGATAAGACACATTCCGTCAGGGTTTAAAATATCTTTGAACCCAGAATAAATTTTAGAACTTCGTCAGTCAGATCTATAACATCAAATCTAATCCTGTTTCATTCACTTATACATTCACTGAGAGAACTTTTTTTTTACCAGCCTATGAACCGCTCGTAAAACCTGGCTCATGAGGGAGATATGAAGGTCTACCATGGAAAGGAGTTCTGATGACACGCTCTACTTAATTACACCTGCGTGACTTACAAGAGAATGACACAAGGGCTTTGGAAATATAAGACTAAGCTAGATAAATAACTACTACTTATCTATATTTAACATTGTAATTCAAAACAATATTAATAACTAGTGTAATGGGGAAAAATTATTGAAAACTCTATTGCAAAAAGACTTGTGTATGGAATTGATCTATTGGTACAACAGTGATTGAAAGCCTTACGTCTGTCCTTACCTCTCGACTTTCTCACCTCTCCATACCTGCATCATCTCTCTCTCCTGCATTCTCAACAGTTATCAAACATCTTTTATCTCTGTTTTACCTGTACCGAGAAAATCTGAATAATAATTAAGATAAAAGTACCAGAAATCTCTTTTGTGTTTATTGATTAGTAAAATACAGGTATATAATTTCAGGTCTTGAAATACCTAAGATTGTTAATTGTAATTCTAATTTAACACGTAAAGGATAGTATTTTTTCGTGTCTGATTTTCTTGTATGGTTTAGTCTCGTGTTAATGCTGAGAGAAGGAGATAGTGAACTAGACAAGAAGAGAAAATCAAGAATTATTTATTGATTGTTAGGTCACACTTGAAAAAAAAAAAGATTCTCTGTACGTGAAAATTATCCATCAGTCAGATAAAAGAAGGTGTGTATTGGACTTAGGAAACGGAGAAAAAATCTGAAATTCACAAATGCAAATAAAGTAGATGACAACATTTAATTTGATGGGAACCGTGGAACGAGTATTTCTTGGTTCATTGAGGAGTGTACGATACCCTCAAATGTCCTATGGCTCAATTGTCTTGTATATTAACGTGATACCTAACCAATTATTCTTTCATTTTACTTTACCTGTATCTGTTTAATCATAAATTCTGGCCAATAACCTTGATCTTTAAACTTGACCTTCATGTTAGTTAGGCCAAGCACCATGTGAGGAATCTAGGTAAAAGGTCCGTCAGTCTTGAAAACTAGATCGCACGCAGACCCATCATAAACGCTGACACATGAACGGACGAACTGGGTTACAGGATTGATTATTCTACTCGTCACAAGAAACTCTTACAAACTCTACACAAAATATCTGTCGTATTCGAACGTTGACTATTGACGTCACAGTTTCACTCTAGTCGACAACAAACAACAACAGATATAAAAGAGTTAAGGAAGTTTAAGAGTTACTTTATTTACCAAATTTTGTAGAAGTGAATGAAAAGACATTTAAAGTTTCTTTCTCCAGCCACTGTGCACAAACGCGACCATTGCATATGTAAATAATAATAATCAGTGTCCGTACAGTACCTGAAAATGCATATTTGTAACTTACCTTATCTATAATATTTTCTCTCATACCAGTTTACTGTAACAAATCACGTTTAACTGTCACTGAACACGAATAACGTCAAGAAAAAGGTAAATCAATGTTAAGAAAAACACTCATACAGATAATTATAACTCCTCCATATGTCACAAACTTCTCGGTGATCTTTACAAACTGTTTCCACTGTTCCTTATAGAGCAACATACATTTTCTTGATCATAACAGAAGTCAATATAAATAATCACTATCTCCTATATATAAGACAGTGACTCACTAGTTCTCATCAATTACTATATTGTATAAATGTTGGTGTATAGTCGATACTGATATGTCAAGAGATGAGAATTAATTATGATTTGGCTTATGTTCAGAAACACAAGATTAATGAAATTTTTATCAGGAGTCATATGCCATAAACAAGAGTAAATGCTAGACGTAATTTTTTTACACTTAGAAAGCATATCACCCTCCAGATGTGTCTTAGAAAATAAACTTTCTAATACTTTACTATCATTAGCCATCGGGTGCAACATGGAAACGGGACACGAGTATAACTTTCAAGCTTCTTAACATGTAAGGGATGTGAATCAAGCCCAACAACTGGTATTTTTACTTGAAAATTATGGAGATTGGAGACCGTCATCACCGTCGACAGATGACTGACACGAGGCATTATCGTCGTGAACAGTAAGAGTTTCTGATATATAAGAGAGGAATGACTCCCCCTTCACCATCACTCGACAGTTATGTTTCTCAGGGTAAGGCGAGCGCCACTGTACACCAGTCGCAGTAGTAGATTTAAGGGAGATGGTCGCCTCGGTGTCTTGGTATTTTCAAAACAGTATTTTTGTGAGAATTAATTTACTTTCTACCAGAGATATAGAACGTTAGTGGCTTTGTTTATGGTAGAGACAGTGTTGTATGTGTATCCTGGTCACTATACTGCCTCGGTGGATGGAGCGTAAACAGTATAATGTCCTACATAGACACAGATTTGTTATCCTTCATAGACGACTTTTGTTTAGTGTGTTTATAAGTGTCGTAAGTGTGTGTGAACTGTGAATATACTTTAATACAGACCAGAAATTTATTCATTCATATTTTTAAATTTACGATGATGTATTATTTCATTAATTCAGGAAGCTTGTATAAATGTTTTGAAAAGTAATAAGGTTTGATGTGTCTGTACGTGTATTTTGTATAGAGTGTTTTATTTTTTGTATGTCCCTGTATTGTAAAAATATCTCAAGTTCACCTGTCTGATACATGAAACACAAGCGCTGACGATATAAACTAAGGGAGGTTAGGTTAAATTAGGTTAGTTAGTCTTCTGACAGTCATGGATGCTCTCACACACCACAGGTTATCGTTGTGGCGTGTGCCGTCGCAGGGGCCCTGGGCGACCACCTACCCAGGCAACAGGACCCCAAGTCCTTCGATGATCGTCAACCTCCTGCCAATACTCACGGTGATCCTGAACTTCCAAAGATGTCATATGATCGTCCTGAGCCTTCACCCATATCCTACCCCGAGCCTCAGCCCTCAGTGGCGTCCTACGATGCCCCTGAGCCTACACCCACATCCTACCCCGAGCCTCAGCCCCCAGTGGTGTCCTACGATGCCCCTGAGCCTTCACCCATATCCTACCCCGAGCCTCAGCCCCCAGTGGTGTCCTTCGATGCCCCTCCAGCCCCATCTTACTCCACCCCTGCCACACCAGTCCTATCCTACCAGCCTCCAGCCCCATCTTACCAGCCACTAGCCCCGGTTCCAGCCCCATCCTCCTACCCCGCTCCTCCAGCCCCAACCTACCCCGCCCCTCCAAAACATTCCTCCTACCCTCCGCGCCCCTCCTGCCCCATCCTCCTACCTTCATCCCCATCCTACCCCGCCCCTCCAGCCCCATCCTACCCCGCCCCTCCAGCCCCATCCTACCTGACCTCCATCCCCATCCTACCCCGACCTCCATCTCCATCCTACCCCACCCTCCAGCCCCATCCTACTCCCCGCCCCTCCAGCCCCATCCCTACCCCGGACCTCCATCCCCATTCTCCCACCCCGCCCCTCCAGCCCCCCCATCCCACCCCTGACCCCTCCAGCCCCATCCTACTCCCCTGCCCTCCAGCCCCATCCCACCTGACCCTCCATCCCCATCCTACCCCCGCCCCTCCAGCCCCATCCCTACCCCGACCTCCATCCCCATCCTACCCCGCCTCCAGCCTCCATCCCCTGACCCTCCATCCCCATCCCACCCCGCCCTCCAGCCCCATCCTACCCCCGGACCCTCCATCCCCATCCTACCCCGCCCCTCCAGCCCCATCCCACCCCTGACCCTCCATCCCCATCCTACCCCGCCCCTCCAGCCCCATCCTACCCCTGACCTCCTGCCCCATCCTCCTACCCCGCCCCCCAGCCCCATCCTACCCCTGACCCTCCAGCCCCATCCTACTCCCTGACCCTCCATCCCCATCCTACCTGACCCTCCATCCCCCATCCCACTCTGCCCCTCCAGCCCCATCCACCCCGCCCCTCCAGCCCCATCCTACCCCGCCCCCCAGCCCCTATCCTACTCCTGCCCCTGCCCCCACAGTGAGCCATAATACCCCTGATGTAAGTACAACAGTCTTTCTGTACTTTAAACCATAGAAGAAAATACATCTAGTGAAACCTCTATTTACCGGACTGTATAAAGAGGAGCCTGAGCGTTATATTGCTGACACATTTAATTGATTTTATATCTTTTATCTTAAATTTGGACCATAATGAGCTCATCGGTTCTCGGTTATTCATATTCCTACCATTAGAGACATTTCCTTATTTTTCTATAATTTTAGTATAATTAAAATTTCTGAATAACGACTAGTCATATACAGTAGTCTGTACATAGTGGAGGGCACACACAGCTGTCCTTATATCTAAAGTCGATGTTAATCGTTTAGTCTCTAACATTAAATATCTCTTCAGTTATGCAGCAATTCTCTTCATAAGGGAAACTCTCTTAGGTAATGTGATGTTTGTCACCTTTAGGAACCACCTAAATATTCCTTCGCGTACAACGTCGTCGACGACAACGCTGGTCTAAACTTCGGCCACTCGGAGGCCCGCGACGGAGACAACACCGAAGGCAGCTACAATGTGGACCTCCCCGACGGTCGTAAAAAGACCGTCACTTACGTGGACAACGGCGACGGCTTAGAAGCGGTGGTGTCCTATGAAGGAGACATCCGGCCTGTCCCATACCGTGGCCCCGCTCCCTCCTACCCTTCTCCCCCTGCCTCCTTCCCTCCTCCCAGCAACAACCTCTACCCTAGTGAGCCCGCACCTCCCGCCATGTTATACACCTAAGTCAGTGTTTAAGGTTAGGTTACCAGTATCTAGTCCCTACACGTACCTGTATATTATAGGTGTTATGTTGTATTGTTATTAACTTTATATTGAACATTAAATAAAGCCATAAAAATTGCCATTTTCTCTGAGACATGACAACACCAGCCAATACTTTCAGGTAAGACGTATAAAAACTACATAGAAAATGTATGTAAATAGAATAAATTCAGAAAATATTCTTCTAGAATACAAAGTATAAATATTTTTGATACACTTTAAAGAAAATAATGAAAAGACAGACAAGCAGATAAACAAAGAGTAAATGATAGAAGACAAGAATTCTTTCACCACCTGGAATCAATCAATCAAAAAACAAATAACTAATAAGATATAAGGATAAGATGGTCAACAGTCCGCTCTGTTATACACTTTGAAAACAAACACAAACGTAAACAACATGATACATAGACCAGAGGGAAGACTTGATCACAGAATTAAACAACCAACTCCTTAGGGACTGACTCCCGGAGTTTTAATTACGCTCTTCCGTCGTGTTTACAACCCGTCTTTAAAAAAAATGAGTCACAAAGGGCACCGCAGTGCAGCTCTCGACAGGGAGGTGTGGCGGTAAAATTAACTTATCATACTAGGCCGGAACCAGACACTCTGACGCAAAATGTCAGGAGATAGACGATATGTGACACCACGGTGGGTAGTAGTAGTAGTAGTAGTAGTAGTACATACACACTCACAAATACACATCCATCTTATACAAGTTAAGCTCATAAATTTGTATTCATTAATATTAAGAAGTGTGATTCATTAAAATGAACGAATTACAATAATATTCTTCAGCAATAGATTCAGATATCAGATTTGCCCCCGAGGGGGCTAGTTTATTGGGCACCCCCTTACATCCTGTGCAAGGTGAAACGCAGAAGCGTTTACAGCGCCCAACAGGGAAGTATGAAAAGTTCATACTTGCCTTTATGACTCGTACATTAAGGGCGTAAAAGCCTGAAGGGTCATAGGTTCTGTCAAGTTACATAAAGTGAGAGAATGATGAGTGTGTGGGGGGAAAGTTCCCGGTACATTTTATCTGTTTATGGCAAAGAGTGGCAGGTCCCTAGTGCCAGGCCTGTGACTAGGAGGAGGGTCTTAAGCAATAGATAAAAGTAATAGACGTATCTTAAATAGCCGATTGCAACATTTAAAAAAATCAAGTAAAACCTTAGGTATGTTGTCTTAACCTCTAGAGTATGATGTTTAAACCCCTTGAGTACAAAGACTTGATCCCTTGAGTATGATGTTTTAACCCCTCGAGTACAAAGACTTGATCCCTTGAGTATGATGTTTTAACCCCTTGAGTACAAAGACTTGATCCCTTGAGTATGATGTTTTAACCCCTTGAGTACAAAGACTTGATCCCTTGAGTATGATGTTTTAACCCCTTGAGTACAAAGACTTGATCCTTTGAGTACGATGTCTTCCTCCATTATCACAATCCCTTCTACCCAAACTTTTCAGCTCACATCCACGAATATTTTCAGTAGTTATTCCTTAAATAGTTTTGGAGATAACACGATCCTCTTCCTCTTCCCAAGCATCACTACTTTCACTTACACCGTCTTATCATACTAATGTTCAGCTTACAAATAACAAGAATTATGTGCCATAGAAGGGGTTATGCAGCCCATTAAAAAAAAAAGGTTAAAATTCAAAGTGGTAATATAAATCTGTAGGAAGGAGGCAGAAGACAGACTAGGAGAAAAGTTGAAGAGCCTGAATTAAGTCAACCGAGCTAGAGAGAGAGGAGAGAAATATGACTTGGACAGGTGCCTTAAAAAGTCATTCCCTCCCCATGTGATATTTGTTATAAAGACATACAAAGGAAATTGACGCTTATGAAAAATGAACAGGGTCGAAAACAACAAATTAGTACACAAAACACATAATAATCTGACTTTCTTTTTATATTGCTTCTCGTCCATCAATTAAAAAAACAGCTGACGATGGGACGACTACTTGTAAAGGATGAGACAAGAGGAAAAAGTTGCCTTAAACATCACCGTTAGTGGTGGTCACCTCGCGTGCATAACATGGGTATCTTTTTCATCAAGTACAAAAAAATATATAAAATTATATTACCCATAATAATTAAAAAGCTGAGGGCGGTACTGAAGAGAGGGAGAAAGGATCTTCATTAATCATAGATGTGGAGAAGATGAAAGTCTAAGATAAATGAGCAGGTAAATCACAAGAACAGTAATTATCAGCAGAAAATAGAACTTTTGTCAATACATCATAGTCTACGGTTAAAGTAACAGTGGCATCAATCATTTAAAAATAAAATAAATTTACTAATATATTTAGTAGTTTCAGGGGAATTAATTTTAATTCCCGCGATAAATATAATAGGCAAGTCATTCAGTTCATCTCATAATAACACTAATGAATTTTATAAAAAATTATTAGAAAAACAAAGTGCCTCAACAACACCTCTGTGACAGCTGCAATAATTGTTGGTAGTAAAAGTCTCAGGATATATAAGGGTCGGAGCGGCCTCTTCACCATCACACAACAGCCATGTCTCTCAAGGTAAGGTGACCACCGATAACAAGTTGTGAAACACAAGCAGTTAGTCTGAGAAACACACATAGTTTCAATTCATTGACTTTATCTTGCATGTTGCAGATAACCACCATCCTGTCTGTCGCCGTGCTGGCCCTGGCCGACTATCCTTCAAGATACCCACCACCACCATCTCCCCAATCCTACCACGCCCCTCCATCACCGTCCTATCCTCCTCCCCCATCCCCATCCTACCCCACCCCCGCCCATTATGGTCAGCCACAGTATCCTGAAGTAAGTACCGCCCCTTCTATGTTGTACTCGTTAAACACTCCTCGCTAACTCCACAAATACTCAACCATACTATGACCTGAGCCTAACTCCTCAGTCACTCCACTCAACAATTGTCCGGATTATCCTGACAGTAGTAAATATCTCCAAAATTATCTTTTAAACTTTGCCAAGCTTGTATGAATGTTGAATGCTTATTTAATCAAGTTCATTAACAAGTCAGCACCTGAAAGAATTCATATAACTGTCTCTTTAGGGATCAGTCCCAATAGGACATAATCAATCTTTACACTTCTTATTTATCGATAAGTACATCACCATTAACGTCAACCTGTATCAGCCCACCGTTATCAGGGATTCTTCCATGTGTTTCCACATACAGTATTCGTGTTTTGGGTCTTTATTATCCGCTATGGTCTCCCAATATTCCTAATGTCATATATCCATCTGGTAGTTAACATCAGTTAAATGAAGGTTATGTTCATTCCTACAGCTTTGGTTGTGTAATTTAACTTAACGAAGGAGACTACAAAAATACATACAATTATTTTACTAGTGGCATCAATGAATGCAACCTTTAGTCTTCAAGTATTATGTTTAAATAGTTTCACCAGATTAAAAGAAGCACAAACACAGGGATTTCCAATAACATGACATTAATTTTACAAATGAACAGCTGTGTTAGATTGAACAGGTAAAATCATGACTTTAAAATATTTATAACAACACTCCAATAAATAAAACTTTTTAAAGCCTTTGATCATTAGATATTATGGTAATTCATACCAGTTAGGAAAATGCTCCCGATTTTTATTTATTTTAAACATGTGCTCTTCCTCGCCTCCAGGAGCCGCCTAAATACTCCTTCGGGTACAACGTTAAGGACGACAACGATGGTGTAAACTTCGGCCACTCGGAGGCCCGCGACGGAGACAACACCGAGGGCAGCTATAATGTGGACCTCCCCGACGGTCGGACAAAGACCGTCACTTACGTGGACAACGGCGACGGTCTAAAGGCTGATGTGACCTTCAAGGGCAACATCCAGCCTGTCCCCAGCTACAATCCTGCCCCCAGCTACAATCCTTCCCCCAGCTACAACCCTACACCCAGCTACTATCCCGCCCCCAGCTACAACCCTACACCCAGCTACAACCCTACACCCAGCTACTATCCCGCCCCCAGCTACAATCCTACACCCAGCTACTATCCCGCCCCCAGCTACAACCCCACACCCAGCTACCCCCCTCCACCAACGCCAATATACGGCTAAGTTAGTTATCAACATTTTGATCATCTACCAACTAATGCCTTGTCACTGGCTGCCCACGTGTGTTGATAATGTCGTGTTTTGAAAAATGTTTATTGGAAATATTAAATAAATTATCTAAATAGTTTTTGTATATCACTAACCACTAACGATGCTTGAAACGACTTAAAATAGAATGATTCTCATAATTACATCAACAAAACAGATACATTTGTCAATTTGATAGATAATACAAAAAAGTTAATATTCCTGTTGTCCTCGGAGTAATCTGGCAAATATTTTACGAATATTACTTGCGTCTTAATGTTCGAATCTCACGAAGATTAGGCATCCCGGTTAGCGTCAGGGTGTTTAAACTTCAGGTAACTTCGGGTAACGAATCTAGTTTAGATTTAAATGTTCTTTTTCCTTGAAAGTTCATCACCATTATGGTCTGTAGGGTAAGTATGGTGTCCACCAGTAGAATTGGCCACAACCGTTCAAGAAAATACACTTTATAATATATATCTCAGTGTGCACATTAAGATGAATGATGCCATTATTTAAGCCTGCTTGGAGTCGCTCACACTGAAGGAAAGAGACTTGGCTGTTCTACGCATCACCCTAAAATATTCTTTATGTATATTATCTGGTCACTAAACTATTTTAAAATGTAATACTTACGAAATTTTGTATAAAGGAAATCAAATTTAGATTTATGAAAAGTAAAAACAGTATATTAAACCGGAGAGCTGTGGCATCCCGAAGTTCATTATACAGGTTGACCATCACTGGACCCTCCTCAGTCTCTACACCTGTTAAGAAAAGTCATTTATAATGGCTTGACGTTTAGAAGGAGGGGAACTAACTCTCTCAGGAATCAGATGGTAACATTAGTTCTTGAAACAAATGAGATTATAAGGTAAAAAGAAAAATATTTGTTTAAAGCTTTTGTCACTACAGACGTTGTTAGTTTATGCGGAATGTGACTACATCCTCACCTTAATGAGTCTCCACAAACATTTATCATAAGAATATTAATCGCAATCTATGTTTGCCGTCCCAGCCCCACCCCATCTCTATGGACTCACAGACTACAAGTATCCTTGTGGATACCAAGACTTTGTATCCGTGACCGTAAGATTGTTTATCCCATCTTTGTCACCAGTTGTCGGTAGTTCCCTGTGGCAGATGCGGTGAACTTTGGTCGTTCTCACAAACGATTAAGAGGAATTAGAAAGTATATTTTTCCATCGTATTAACGCGTTAGGGTGTTATTCGAAAATCTATTTGACTTGACACATGAAACAATACCTTAATTTCAAGAACCTTTTTGCTCATACTAAGAATAAATAATTTAATAATAATTAGTAACTGGAGTTGTAAAAAAAGTGCCAAATAGGCCAAGTTATACCACTTTCATTGGAACATACACTGACAACTCGAAGAGCCCCGCCCACCTGGTACGATGTCCTCCGTAAACTTCCTGACCTCTCGTATGTCTATGGGAAAGGGTCGCGGAAAGGGGACGTGATTGCTGCCCGTATCATCATTGCGTATGACTTTGCTTGGGAGATTGGTATCCCCGCATCCCCTGAGCAACGCTCTTGTGCATTATGCAGAAGACCCGACAGCAGCACCCTTATCCACTACCTCCTAAGATGTCCCCACACACAACGCTTCCGTGACGCCTGCTGGACCACCACTCCCCGACCCCCTGACGGAGATACGATGATCCTCCCAATACTGGCCAGATATTATGTAAATAACATTGAATATGTGTTAAAGGAATATCCTTCCTTCCTTAGGCTTTAGTAAGTCCCTTTATAATATTTATACCGTATATACTTGTGACACTTGCCAGATGCTTCTGGTGTTATTGTACAGGGGTACCTAGTGACAGCACTAGGATCCCGCTTCCTCTTTCAAGGAATAAACAATTGAAATTGAAATTGAATTGAACTAGAAGAGGAATTTTGTATGTGGGGTCAACAAAGGGGACAATCGCTTACAAAGGTGCAGTTATTCTCCAAACTACCTTATTCAGCAATGGGACACCACGAATAAAACACCCACCCTTAACTAGACTCCACATTCACTAGCCGTGCCAGGCCAGTCGCAGTCAGGACATGAAACTTTGCTTGACAGAGTTCCTCCTCGCGAGAGCAGAAAAACCTACGATCTACAACAATGAAGTCGAATAAACTTCTGTGTTTCTAGACTGGTAAGTCACTGTTCCCTTACATTGTACAGTATATTCTTATCACAGATTGTTGCGTGTTGTATTCATATTTACAATTAACTTCATAGTTCAACTTTTTCTGGTCAGGATTAAAATAATTTCATTAACTTTGCTCCTTATTTCAATCTGTTAGTTTGTTTTGCCTATTAATATTGACTAAATACTTGTTTCTTTTGTCTGTACATTGTTGCTTTTTTCCTCCATATTTATATGAAGCCGTTTAGTGTTTCACACAGCATATAACTCCAAGAAAAGTCGCCTAAAGTTATAGTTCCTATTGACCATAATTTAATAAGTCACAAGCGAATTTATTATCAGTAGTAAACATAACTTTTGTCCAACGCATAACAGTCTGCGGTTCAAGAAAAAGTGAGTCATTTAGTTAGCAGGGACACTGACATGCTCATACTGATGAACTTACTCATTTGTTGAGAATTTACTTTCTAATTCGTTCAATAATATTTTCTGGAAATTATAATGTCCATCTCATAATAACATGAATGAATTTTATTATTTGTTTTAGAAAAACATTCCTGATTTATCATAATAAATCTCCCAACACAGTGCCTCAACAACACCTCGGGTGACAGCTGCAATAATTGTTGGGAGTAAAAGTCTCAGGATATATAAGGGTCGGAGCGGCTTCTTCACCATCACACAACAGCCATGTCTCTCAAGGTAAGGTGACCACCGATAACAGGTTGTGTAACACAAGCAGTTAGTCTGAGAAACACACATACTTTCAATTCATTGACTTTATGTTGCATGTTGCAGATAACCACCATCCTGTCTGTCGCCGTGCTGGCCCTGGCCGACTATCCTTCAAGATACCCACCACCACCATCTCCCCAATCCTACCACGCCCCTCCATCACCGTCCTATCCTCCTCCCCCTTCCCCATCCTACCCCACCCCCGCCCATTATGGTCAGCCACAGTATCCTGACGTAAGTACCGCCCCTTCTATGTTGTACTCGTTAAACACTCCTCGCTAACTCCACAAATACTCAGCCTCACTCCTCAGTCACTCCACTCAACAATTGTCTGGATTATCCTGACAGTAGTAAATATCTACAACATTATCTTTTAAGCTTCCCTACGCTTGTATGAATGTTGAATGCTTATTTAATCAAGTTCATTAACAAGTCAGCACCCACCAAAAATATATATCAACTGAAGAGTAGCCCCAATAAGACATAACTAATCTTTACACTTCTTATTTATTCGATAAGTACATCACCATTCTAATACAACTGTTATATTCCTTTGTAAAATTAATGTGAATTTATTGGAAATTGCTGTGTTTGTGTTTCTTTTATTCTGGTGAAACTATTTAAACAATATACTAGTACCACCTGAATGTAAGAGTTGCATTCCTTAATACCACACTAAAATAATCGGATATATTTTTAATATTCTCCTCCGTTAAAATATTTATAACAACAACTCTCATAAATGAAACCTGTTTAAAGCCTTTGATCATTAGATATTATGGTAATTCATACCAGTTAGTAAAACGCTCCTGAAAAAAGTGTTAAATCATGTGCTCTTCCTCATCTCCAGGAGCCGCCCAAATATTCCTTCGGATACAACGTTAAGGACGACAACGATGGTGTAAACTTCGGCCACTCGGAGGCCCGCGACGGAGACAACACCGAGGGCAGCTACAATGTGGACCTCCCCGACGGTCGTACAAAGACCGTCACTTACGTGGACAACGGCGACGGTCTGAAGGCTGACGTGACCATTGGAGGGAACATCAAGCCTGTCCCCAGCTACAACCCCGTCCCCAGCTATAACCCCGTCTCCAGCTACAATCCCGGCCCCAACTACAACCCCGTACCCAGCTACTATCCCGCCCCCAGCTACAACCCAGAACCCAGCTACAACCCAGAACCCAGCTACAACCCAGAACCCAGCTACAACTCAGAACCCAGCTACAACCCAGAACCCAGCTACAACCCAGAACCCAGCTACAACCCAGAACCCAGCTACAACTCAGAACCGAGCTACAACCCAGAACCCAGCTATTACCCCGAACCCAGCTCCTACCCCGAACCCATCTATTACCCTGTCCCCAGCTATAACCCTCCTCCGCCATCATACAGCTAAAGCCGGCTTTATATGTTGATTGTTTACCTAGAACAATACTTTGTTACTGGCTGCCCACACTTGTTATATTTTTGTCTCCGAGATCACTTGTCAGAAGCATACAATAAAATCAAATCTCAATTGTTTATTATACTTTAACTGCATCATTTAGTTCTACGAATATTCCTCCTGGCTGACATATTTGCAGAGGACATTTTTTTCTTAGCCAGACTAAGCTTGTGACAATAATGATGGTTCACCTTTTCTCGATTTATCAGTACCTTTGCAAGATTATTAAAACTTTTTATACAAAATTGGCTTACATAATTTTCATGAATAAACTAAATTAATGATAAAATCACGGCCAGTAAGACTAAGACTGCTTTGGACACATAATTCAGTGTTTCAGAATAATATTCTAAATGATCATCCTAAGGAGCCTTGAGTAAAGTAATCGGTTTTCACAAGAAAAATATGAACGAAATAATAACTCAACCGAAAGCATCTGCTATTTCTTATTAGAAATATAGTATACGCACAATTAACGTATGATATCACTATAACTAAAACTATGAACAATTAGTATATGAGAGCATGAAGCGAGTGTTGGGAGCTTCGTAAACTGGACCAAATGAAGCATCCGGCCAGTAATTTGATGACCTCTGCTGGACAGTGGTGCGCAGGAGTCATTTGAAACAACAATGAGGTTACGTGATAGACGTTACATGTATCAGTATTTACTAGACACTTGATCATAGTTTAATTACCGTCGGTGATGTGATTATATAAAACGAATGAATGTAGCCCATATTTATATTAATGTTACTGTGTGTTAGACAGGGGCTAATGAGTGAAGAACTGAAAATACTAACTCCATATACATTTTAAGAAATAAATAATTGTTGCCTTCCAAATATGATCATCAAACATTTACGATAAGTCAGCAAAACACAAGAGCAGCAGATCTTAAAGTATATATACGTCTTTCTCAACATTCTTTCTTAACCTTTTACATGTTAAATTTTTTTAGACAAGCTTTATACCCTAGGGCTGTCAATGCCAACCCTTGAATCCTATAGAAGATATAACACAAAATGTCAAGTCTTTTTTTTATTATTATAATATAACACAGTGAAAAAATATGGATAATTTCTTGGAAGTCTGAAAAGTCGAAAAGAAAGGTTGACCAAAAAGAAAGTAACAGTGAAACACGCAAATGAATTCCACAGGAGTTAGATCAGGTACAGTACTTTCTCGGGGGTAGGGGTTTGGTTGTAGTCTTGTTTACTGTACGTTGTCGAGTAGGAGAGGACACACTAAATATTCTCCAGATATAAGAATACACAATGTAATTTCCTAACTATATAATAACTGTAAAAAGGTTATAGATTATTTAGAGCCAAACCCCCAGGTAGATGGTCATTTATGTACATGAAAATAAATTCTAGTATGAGTATTCAGTTGTATGCATGGCACTGTGAAACTAAACTCCCCGACCACCAATGAAAAATATGATAATTTAACCATGAAAGTGGAGAAAGTGGTCATAAAAATATTAATAAGGAAAGCAGGTGTATATAAATAGACATAGGCCAGGTGCAACGATAATATGACCCACAGTTATAACTAAAATAACAGTAATTATGGTCCAGTTTCGGCATAATAGCGAGCTGTTGAGGTTTGCGTGTGTTGATCAGTTCGGAGAAACCTTCTTAATGTCTCCTCCAAGCTCAAAGTTTCTCATCCTATTTGTAAATGTCTTGATTTTTATTCCCTCTATCTAAAATGATTCAAAATATACGAAGACAATGAGACTTATAGAAGATTATATAGTACTGTCAGCATTTGAGGTCAGGTCTTAAAGTCTCAGCCACAGTGAGCGAGGGCGCAGTTTTCCTCCGTCTGGTCGGCTGGGCGGGTGGCAACATCAGCCGTGGGGTTCCTGCCGGGGTAAGAGTTACTAGCGTATATATATGAACTCTCGTTTCCTCAGCGTCACACTGCAACCATGTTCCTCAAGGTAAAGATGGGGGAATAGCGTGAACTAGTGCAGTGTGTGTGTGTATGTGTGTGTGTGTACTCTACAATATAAACACCTTCTATAGGCTTTAAAAATCCCAGGTCTTGCATAAATGATTGAAATACTCTTAATATAGAAAAAAGCTAAATCTCAAATTCCCCAAACTGGTATTAACAAGGTGATGAGGTTTATGCATATCTTCCTGTACTTTGAAGGTCTTTTAATTTACAGTATAGGGCAGTTTACATAGTGAGGTTTTCTTTATCAGTAAACCCACAACATTTATCACTTTATAGATATTAAACAGAAGTATAATGACTTCCTTAAGCTCAGGTTCACAGAAGGTTTTGGAAACTACTTTTTATACAATCCTTTATGTTAAAATCAATATCTTCGTATAAAATAAAAAAATAAAAAAATCTGATAGGAGATGTATTATTATTATTATTATTATGATTATTATGATTATTATTATTATTAGTCTCTATAAGCTCAATTTGTGTTTGTATTACAGATAGTCACCGCGGTGTGTGTGGTCGTGGTTACAGCAGAACATCGTCCCCCAGAATTTGGTGCTCGTATCCCCTCCCTTAAGGCGCCCACCCATGCCCAGTTAACTGCTGAACATACTACCGGTCTTACCACTTCCCTCCACCTCCGTCCTACTCCGCCCCGCCTCTCCAGCCCCGTCCCTCCGCCCCGCCTCTCCAGCCCCGTCCTAGCACTCCGCCCAGCCCTCCTACTCAGCCCGTCCTACTCCGCCCCAGCCCTCTCCAGCCCTGTCCTGCCCTCAAAGAGCCTCTGGCACCATACCTAAACTATATCTCCCGTCCACCACCACCACCCAGATATCCAACCACCCGTCCACCACCACCACCCAGATATCCAACCACCCGTCCACCTACACCACCCAGATCAATCACCCGTCCACCACACCAGATATCCAACCACCCGTCCACCACCACCACCATATCCAACCACCACCACATATCCAACCACCACCACCACCACCCAGATATCCAACCACCCGTCCACCACCACCCAGATATCCAACCACCCGTCCAACCACCACCCAGATATCCAACCACCCCACCACCACCACCCAGATATCCAACCACCCGTCCACACCACCACCCAGATATCCAACCACCCGTCCACCACCACCACCCAGATATCCAACCACCCGTCCACCACCACCACCCAGATATCCAACCACCGTCCACCACCACCACCCAGATATCCAACCACCCGTCCATCAACCACCACCACCACCATAACCACCCGTCCATCACCACCACAGATATCCACCCACCCGTCCATCACCACCACCCAGATATCCACCCAATCACCACCACCACCCACCACCACCACCACCATATATCCAACCACCCGTCACCACCACCACCCAGATATCCACCCACCCACCCACCACCCAGCCGCCACCACCACCACACCACCCAGCCACCACCACCACCACACCACCCAGCCGCCACCACCACCACCTCTACCACCCAGCCACCACCACCACCACCACCCCTACCACCCAGTCACCACCACCACCCCCTACCACCCAGTCACCACCACCCCCACCCCCTACATACACAACGCCATCGGTTCCAGCCACTAAATATAACACCACCTCATCAAACACATCACCCACGCACATCACTGACACAGCCCCATCCCAGCCGATCCCTGTGCCTTACCCTATCAACGTGGTCCTCCTTCGACCCACCGGTGAGCCAGGACCACCATGCAGAAGGTGTAAAGGACCTCTCATACTGAACCTCCAACCTCTAGATACAACAGTGGAACCGTATTGTAAGTGTTAGCCTTTAACTCTCGTATATCCTCTTTATCCTCCTCCTCTTCTTCTTCTTTGGCTCCTATACCCCTTAGCTCTAAGTCGCCATTAATGACATGAGGGTTGATATCTGTGTTTACATCTGACACATTCTATCCCAGGTCATTATCACTGTTTATATGTGAACCGTTTCGGGGTACACGTAAATAAGAGAGAAAAGTTTACAAAAAAAAAATGCCAAAATCATAGTCAATGCTTAATCATATTGAAATAAGTTTGACACAACAACACAAACATTAAGCTGGTTTATCTTCTTCTTTCTCAAATCTTTTCATGTACTCGAACCTTTATCTGCCCGAAGCTATATTTCACGAAAGAGATTGTGAAATTTGGAAGCTCATCTTGTTAAACTGTCTTGATTAAAACTACATTTCTTACCTAAGGAGTTTACTGTGGTTACGACGTCGGCACTTACTACTCCAGCGCCAACTATAGTCATTCTAAGAGAACCACAATGGCTACAAGACCGAGGGCAGCTACACGGTGGACCTCCTCGAACGGCCGCAAGCAGACCGTCAACTACGTATTATAACAACCAACCCATCCAACGCTTAACCCAGTTTGTTTTAGTTTTTTTTTTTGTAAATAGTTTGACATATTGCTATTTATTTATTATAACACTGTATCATAAACACATAACTAAAAATGCCTGTGTTTTCACTTCCCCAAATTCATAATGCTAACTAGAATGGCATTTAATAGCTTTCAGGCATTATTTCTAGTGATATAAACAAGAAAATAATAACATATTCCCATCAGACGTGACACAGGTAACTCCAAGAGAACAGAACTCTGGCCAATAATAACAGAGAAGACTAAAAACTGAATTCGTCTGAGATACTTTCACAATATCCTTACACAAGAAACTGAGATGAAAGCCGGTTCACGAATTCACACCTACACTCAGCTTAGGGATACAACAGGAACCATAACTCCTCAACATAAAAGGGATCTAAGGCGGGGCTAAAGGGTACCACACTAAAAGAGATATAATGCAAGGTGTATTTATTCTCAGTTGAACCCCGTGTTGATGAAGCGAGCAAACAAACTGACGAACCATCCCTGTAAAAACCCGCAAACCAGACAGAGGTATATATATACAAGCTTATTAACATATTATCTAGACTTTGCAATAAGTTTCTCACAAAGTAACAGTTAAACGTTCCAACTCGCCTACCCACAAACCCACAAGCCTCTGTGATGTCTGCCGTTAATTCCAGTTCCTCATTAGAGAAACTGATGCTAAAATAAGAGGCGCTTTGGCTCAAACTACATCAACTGTTGTCGCAATATTTTAACTTGATCAAAACTAACCTAACATAACGAAACTAGCCTAACCTAACCAAACTAGCCTAACTTAACGAAACTATCCTAACTGAACCAAATCTAAATTAACCTAACCTAACTTAGCTTAACTAAATATAACTTGAACTAACCTGACTTTAACCTAACTTTCCTAATCCTACCCTAATATAACCTAACCTCCTAACCTAACTTAACATATCCTAACTAAACCAACAACCTCATTTAACCTCATGAACATAACCTGATCTCACTGAACATATACTAACTTAACGTAACCTAACATAGCTTGACCATAACATCTGAAACGCCATCTATGCTTTGACTAAATTTTTTTTTTTAATTTCATAACGTAAATAACTAATAATTAACAATAAAACATTTAATACAAATATCTTCAACATAAACATAAGTCAACATTTGTTTTCCATCCAACAACCAAAAAATAAAAATCTTCAATAAATTTTAAAATGAAAAATCACACTTCCTGAAATTCATAATTTTTTTTTTACAAGAGATGGAATTATTGATGGAAATTAATTATCAAAACAAGTAGAGACGAGTCAAATTATCATAATTACTTAATGTTCAAAATTCTAATTAAAAACAAGGAATATCACCTTTTTAGCTTCGATCTAAGTAACGTAGACAAGAAACTTCAAAATCAAATCACATTACAAATCCACTTACAAATACAGACGATATACAAAAGATACACTTCAAAAAATCTAAATCACTACCACAGACAAGACTCATTCGTCGCGATACAACGCTCAGTCGATATCCAAGAAGCGAATGATGTCAGAACTCTAAATAACCAAGAGGTAGTTTAACCCATTATATGAGCCAAGGTTGGATTGGTTAGTTGACAAATATAGTAAAAGTGTGTGGTGAGACAAGCCGCAGTTTTGCCTCCACCGCCCCCAGCCCCTAACTAAGACTTACCTTCGTGTACATAATTCACTCGATACTTATTGATTTAAAGTTATAATAAATGTTAGAGACAGTTTCTATAACACGTAGCCACAGCGGTTATGTGATTTTTGTTTTTGTTTTTGTACATGTGATATAAAATGACTCCACTACTTATATCAATGTGTTTAGTTGTGGTAATATTCCTCCTCTTGCTTTTCTTCCTTCATCTCCTCCTCCTCCTCCATCTCCTCCTCTTCCTCCTCATCTTCCTCCATCTCCTCCTCGACAAGGCACCACTAACCATCTAGTATACACCTGTAGCTTCATTCATGTCAGCATCACCCACCAACAGCACGACCTTCCTCAGAAATCATTCGACACTGTCCCCTGTGTTCATTCACACACTGTTACTTTCTTGATCCCCAGTTCTCTCATTTTTCATTGTATCCTTCATCTTATCCTTCTATATCCTTCTTGGCTACCCCTATCCTTCCTACCATCCACCTTTGAAGGATGCTTTCTTAGCAATATTCAATTTCCCAAAAGTACAGTGCATACCACCTTTATATAAATATGTTGTCACCATTAACTCGCAACTACAATACAAAGCAAAACAGTTAATTTAGCAGCATGTACCTTACCTTACACGAGGAGGGGGCTAGACCATATACCCTGTATTATACGTATTTATATAAAAGAACAAATTAGAAATCCACATTAGTGTAATATAATCATACAACTTCTAAAATGATAACTATTGTGTTGAATAAAAATCTGATTTACAACAGGTAACGAATTTATCTAATTATTTAATCATACCTAATGGGCTTTGGTCTCCATTCCAAACACTATCATGTTTATGTCAATTAAACTCCCCACAGACACTCAGGTGATGACGTCAGGTATCCGTAAATGAACGACCATGAACGTACGGGAGAAAGGTTTGTGTTGGTATATAAGTAACCTGGCGCCCTCTACCTCATAACACTCTCTGCCATCATGTCTCTTAAGGTAGCCATCTAAGGAAACTGAGCAACACGGTTCATGACTCCAGAATACGAAAAAGATTGAGAAAAAAATCCAATAGGGGTGAGACAGATGTGCTTGTGATAACTCGACCAAGTTATGATAAAGTTTGTGTTGTGTTTTACAGATCGTCGTAGTGGTGTGTGTGGCCACGGTGGTTCTGGCTGATCGTCCTAGGTACACCTCTCCTACGGACTACTCCCCGGCCTCCTCCTACCCCTCCCACCACCAGCAGGAAGACTACCCTGACGTGAGTATCGGACCTTCCTTGAGATGGTCACAATTTGTCAAAATAATTGAAATTTAGTTAAGACTTTATTCACGTCATCCACTCACCTGTTCATCTTCTCCGCCACCTATTGATCAGGTCAATGTATTGTGACGACTTATGTGATAAGTACCAAGGCAGGTACTAGGGACCTCTGCCAATTGATAGGCTTTTAATCTTCACTGGCGTCACCCTTCGAGATGGTCTGCGGCTTAGTGTCATGCAAGGAAACTGCCTACACTCGATGTTCAGGCTGCCAACTGTTGCTCTACTAGCCTGACAACTGCCTATGAAATGAAGTCTTTAATAAATTCCGTGTGTTTTCTAGGCTCCCCCAAAGTACACCTACAACTACGGCGTTGCCGACGACTACTCCGGCGCCAACTTCGGTCACTCAGAAGCCCGCGACGGCTACAAGACCGAGGGCAGCTACACGGTGGACCTCCCCGACGGCCGAACACAGACCGTCACCTACGTGGACAACGGCGACGGTCTGGAGGCCGTGGTGACCTACGAGGGTGAGGCCCAGTACCCTGAATACAACCCTGCCCCAGCCTACCAGCCTTCCCCAGCCTACAAACCCGCCCCAGCCTATAAACCTGCTCCAGCCTACCAACCCGCCCCGGCCTACCAACCCGCCCCAGCCTATAAGCCTGCTCCAGCCTACCAACCAGCCCCAGTCTACCAACCTGCCCCAGCAGCCTGCCCCAGCCCCAGCCTGACCAGCCCTGCCCCAGCCTACCAGCCTGCCCCAGCCTACCAGCCTGCTCCAGCCTACCAACCTGCCCCAGCCTACCAACCCGCTCCTAGATATCCTGCCCCTCACCCCCCGACCTACGCCTAACTCGAAGCTCTACCACTTCATCTCATTAAAACAACACGAGTAAAGAGACCCTCCCCGATTTACTGTATTCCCTCGAGAGCCCCTCCGACTAACCACGCCTCTGCTTCGTCTAACTCGCGCAACAAAATTTCAAGAGTAATAGTATGTTTGTCGATAATTTCCTTCCTGTTGAGTTGTCAAAATTCTCGTATTCATTGTTTTAAATCATTTCAGTACTCATATCCCTGTATATAGTGAGAGTATCCTCTGTAATATTTTGGAAGGTTCGTGTTAGAATAATCACTGTTAGGTTGGAGAAAAATAAACCAGGAACAGCAAGACAGAGACCAATATCGACTTGATGTTAATAATTTACTCGTAGATTCCAAATAATATGTAGAAATTTACGATGTTGATAATAAAAAACCGATAAGCCACAAGAGTTGTTCTTACGCAAACATAAAGGAATATTAACAGCAATTGGGTAAACAACTAATGGTATGGTTGAGGTAGTTCAACTGAGGCTTCATTCTGGCAATACTGAGGTCAAGTCTGAGCTCAGTGTGAGTGAGCGGGTGGTCGGCTGAGTTAGTTTTTCAGTTTGCTGAGTCAGTGTTCCGAAAGAGTGGACTGGGACGTTCTATTCAGGTGGGAAACAGTATTATAAGATTGTCCCAAGTTACAGTATTTTAGATTACGTGAAGTGTTTACCCTCGTAACGAGTACTACGGCCCCAACAATTGTATCAACACAGGGTCCTTTAAGCTCTACCTACATACATCTGAGGTGGTGCAGCCAATCAAAAGTATACATACGGTATGAGGAAGGTTCTGGGGTGGGGAAGAGAGGAGTCGTTAATCTTATATGACGACGCACGAAATTAAATCATTTGGGACATATTTTCTCAATGGTATTAGTAAACATTTTCAACAACTAGCAATTGCAATGTCTTCGAGTTTGTGTAATAACTAATTAATGCTCTAATGTCCAGCCTCGTGATATATTTGGGGCCGGAATGGTTGTCAATCAGTTATATATTTCGTGATTTTTTCAACCATATGATATGACTATTGTCCTGTAGAGTCTATGTACATGAACCGTATTTACCATGATATAACTCGTACTGTCGATCCAGAACCAGGTGAAGCTCGTTCCGGAGTTATCTTCTAATAGGAATATGTTGAGATTCATATAGGGAACTTAAGCAACTGAGGCCATCCGTTATTACCTTATATATTTTGATCTTTAACGTCATTAACATTAGTGTCTAAAACTGTTAGCGTCTAATTTTCTAACATTTCACACATTTCAGAACTGGATCTGAAATAATCGAGAACTATGGACATGTGCTCGACCGCTGAGAAGTCATCCTCTTGCTAACCATTATTAAAAACAGTTTTTAATGAAAGTTGACACCTGTTCAACTATAACTTTCCAAATAACAAAAGCAATAGTAAAAGTGAGGCCGCCACCTAGATACTTTTACGTTTGACTGTGTATTTGTGTAGTGCCTTTTGAGGTGTTTATAACGTCTATTATAATATCCCTTGCCCTTCTATAGTATAAACTGGGCAAGTGTCAGCGTTCTGGTCTTTCTTGGTAAGTGACGTAGCTGAGTGTCTGTGTCATGTGCGTCAAACCTTCCGTTGCACCAGACCATCCAGTTGTATATACGCATGCGCTGGATTTACCTGGAATTTCTGTCGTATGTAAACTTAAACTAACCAAAACTAATTTTCCTTAACATGTTACTTTATGCCCGGATCTTCCTTGTGGATAATGTTTAGACAGCTGGTTGGCGAATCGAGAACTAGTATAGAATATTTTTTAAAGACGTTGAAGGAACGCTCTGATAGCACAGACAAACAAAACAAACACGCCCATGTTACTTTATGCCCGGATCTTCCTTGTGGATAATGTTTAGACAGCTGGTTGGCGAATCGAGAACAAGTATAGAATATTTTTTAAAGACGTTGAAGGAACGCTCTGATAGCACAGACAAACAAACAAACACGCCCAGTCGCTCAAATGACCATGTGTTGTGTCAGTGCCAATGTGATTTAATAGTTCCCGATTATATAAAAAAAATCGAAATCAATTATGTTTAAGTTATATAATAAAAAATCGAATAATAATCTTTGATCTTCCAACACTGGATTTGATTGCTAGGGACATCAAACGTGAGGCCAAAGCTCGTGGCAGAGTGACTGAGGGAGGTGTGGGATGAGTGAACAGTTGATGCCTGCCTCGTGTTGTGGGAGGGGTGAACCTAAGTGCAGGAATACACGAAATAAAAGTACACTTACGACCAAGATTACCTCCATGTTTGGCTAAGGGATCTACTAGTAGGCCATTTATGTTATTAGTTTACTGTGTAGTTAGCAACAGGGTGTTTTACTGTATAAATTGTCAAACAAGATTTTGAAGAAATAGATATTAACTCTTTAGAGAGCAAAATATCCCTTGGGTATTTTATTGTGGCTAAAACGAGACGATTTTATTCAGCTGAGGGAAGCCACAGCCTGCTAAAACGAGTTAAAATCCCACTCCACCTCCCTCTTATTTACCTGACCCTCATTTAGCCAACATTATATTGTCATTAACACCGCCAATGAACGTCCTTTAAGGTCATGTCACGGCCAGTTATAACCTACAGTACGCCCCTCCGTCTTCTCCTCCTTACTATTCAATCATCAGAGCATTCGTTAATTAAATGTCAGATTATGTACTTATAATATATTCCAGGTGTAAAGAGAGACATAGAACACATAATAATAGTCACAAATTAAACACTATTAAACACTCCTGCCTACGTGGGAGACATAATAAAGGCTTAGATCTCTCTCCCCTACAGCTGTCCTAGGAAGAAACAGTCTAACAGTGACCGCCAGACACCTAGATGAGTGGAGAGCAATGGTCTTGGTCTCACAGTCGCCGGGTCGGGGCGAATCTCCAGGCCTCGCAGTCGCCGGGTCGGGGCACAGACTCTACCACAGAAGTCAAATAAACTACCCTAGATAAACTAAATAAATATAAAAAATAAAACAAGTTGCCAAAATTGTCTGATCTGATTATCTAAATATGGATCTAAGGCGGGGCTGAGGGGTAACATATTTAAAAGAGATATAATGCAAGGTGTTTAGATTCTCAGCTAAACCCTGTGTTGATGAAACGAGCAAGCAAGCTAACAAACCATCCCTGTGTAACCCGCTAAGCAGACAGAGGTTTACTGTATGTTCTGATTGTTTCCCCCAGCGCCCACCTCAAAGTACTACATAATCATTACAATGCTATAAACAGACAAGAGACAATGGCTATGATTTATAAAGGGATTAACACATTATATGACAGTTAGAAGTAAACATTACAGGGTCTTGATAGCGAACATAAAAACCAACAGAAAAAGACCATGAGAGGTAATTATGAAATCGGGAACAACCATGAACCTTTGACAGCCACTTTACAACTCAGAAATTCTACTTCTGTGGAGCCTGAAGGACAGGGTGTACGGTGCTAAACACTCAACACTGCAAATATTACTGGAGATGATTGAGGAGGAACGCAACACCGGGCTGACCTGTTCACCACTGTACGACGGCCTGTGATGACATGTTGTGGTGCAGTTGGTGGACGTTTTGAACATTTGACATAAGATGACCATTGTTTGTTGTTCTCACTTGATCATTTGTGTATATACAACAGCTGCTTTTTATTCAGTGTGATAGGTACTGAAGATACACTCATTCAGAATGTGTTTACCTTATTTTGATAATTGTAATCAATGTACGTTACTACTATTTCAAACACTAAATGATAATCATTCACTTATACTGTATGAACATCTTTACTTAGGAAATATTTTATTTTTATTTTAACTGTTCACTCATAACTGTACATTTCCTCTCTTACTTATAAGATTCACTCACGTATTGATGTCACGGAGGGTTGTGTCGAAACAACCAATGATGCAAGCAAGAAGACTATAAGTCGATAATGAGGTGCGGTTGAGAACTCATCTTTTCTCAACTGATTGGTCTCCACGCCCCTTATCTCTCCTCTGATTGGTTCAGACGCCCTTTGTCTCGTCTGATTGGCTTACATGTCCTTGAGTTGATTCTGAAACAAACCACATAATCTTATATATATATATATATATATATATATATATATATATATATATATATATATATATATATATATATATATATATATATATATATATATATATATATATATATATATATATATATATATATATAATGCTCATTAAGGATAATTACGAAATAGCAATAACATCTATGAAATTGTTTTTTGGAAACTTCTGACTGGCCATAGACGAGCATGTAGATAATCCTATTGTATAAATGAATAGCTTCAAACGTAACTTAACAGAACCTAATGTAACCTAACCTACTTTAGGCATATTGTAACCATTTTATGATGGTAAACGACGTCTAAAATTAAACAGAGCACAAATTTTACTTTATGACATATAGGAAGTTGAAGTGAAGGTGGTGAGGTGTTGTGTCACCACCTTACCTCTATGGAACACATGCGCGAGTAACAGCAGCAGAGGTTCCCAGTATGTAAGAACTGTGTGGAAATGATAACAAAAGTGAGGAGGCAAGATAACGAATAGACGACTTACAGGGAGAAAATTAAGTGGATAGGATAATGGTAAAAAGATTAGTGAAGGCTACACCGAGGCGAGTGGGACAATGAGGAAATACTGGCAAGGAGAGAGAGTGAATGAGGGAAGAAGGTGGTGGGGGGGGGATCCGAGAGTGACGTGAAGTGATTGTGTTAGGAAGGATTTGAGCAAGTCTGACTAAGAAGTTAAGTGGAAGACAATGGCAAAGGATACAGAAGTGTGAGGAGAGAAGATAAACAAGCAGGAGTTATACACTAAAGGAGGAACACAGCTACAAAGGAGACAACTTGATGACACTTGATTGACAACATGTAAGAAATAACTTTGAAACACTTGTATTTTTTCGAGTTTCTATGCTCTAGTACTTGTATTATGTATAAATATATAAATGTATATATGTATGTATTGTATGTATGTATGTATGTATGTATGTATGTATGTATGTATGTATGTATGTATGTATGTATGTATGTATGTATGCATGTATGCATGTATGTATGTATGTATGTATGTAATAATAATAATAATAATAATAAACGGTTTATTAATAGAGTTGCAGCCGGTGGCTGAAAATATACAGACTTACATTTGATTTAGACAAAATTATATAATATGCATTGAATACATTTACAGGGCTGTCCAGTACACAAATCAGGAGTTGTTTATTATTTTAACAATAGATGGGATGGTGCTGTTCTTATATCTATCGGTGCGGGCTCTTATGGGCTGAATTTTGTTGTAGTGGCGGACTGCACGAGGTGGGTGGGGGGCTGCCGGTGGCAGGAGGTGGCGATGACGAGGGTGGTGCAGTAGTCCACTGCCAAACCTTTCCAGTGCTTGGTGGTGGAAGTCACTGAGGGATGGCATTTCCAGGGTGGAGAGAGCGTTGGAGTACCCGGAGTACTCTGCGCCGAGTATGATTCTGCAGGCCCTTTTCTGTACCTTCTCTAGCTGACGTCGTTGGGTATGTATGTATGTATGTACGTATGTTCATAGATGCAGCCATGTTAGTATTGTTGGTATTGTTCAACACCACAAGAAGCGACAGAGGAAGTTGAGAGGAACAGCAGTTAAGCAGAGTATTAACTGGCGACTATTTTAAGCATGTTGGTGAGAGTGGTGGCGAGGGAGATGAGCACAGACTGACCACACCGTGTATTCTGCCGCTGAGGAAAGAAGAGATGAATTGAAACTCTGTGTGGTGTTCGTTTATGATTTGGGTGTATTTCTCCCACCTAATTAATCATACAAACCAGGCAATTAATCGGTGGTCAGCCAAGGTGTAAAGTCAATGCTTACCCCCGAACACGTTACTATGGATAGTTATAGAAACAGAATGAATTATAATTAGATGTCAAGAATAGCCCCACTCCCCCCCCCCTCCTCTCTCCCAAATGCCAGTGTAAACAATAGCAAATTTTTCCCATAAACACTACATATTAACACACAACAGACACTCATAAACACTACTGAAGAACTTATTACACATATTTAAAAAATATATATATTATTTCTATTTAATTTTTTTTTAAATTGGAAAACTGTTTTCAACTTTGGAAAATTTTGGAAAATTTTGGAAAATTTTAAAAATTCCATGGACCAATGAGAGATTCATTCCCTGTACCGACTAGAGCTCTCCATTCCCTTGACCAACCAGAGCTCCATTTCCCCTTTGCCACTGACTTACACATGGTACACAACGATATAATACGTATTTTATGGTCGTTTTTCTTGTAAGAGTAGCTGTTTGTAGTTCCTGTTATCGTAGGAATATCCGGGCATAAAGTTACATGTAAAGGAAAGATAGTTTAAGTTAGTTTAAGTTTACATACGACAGAAATTCCAGGTAAATCCAGCGCATGCGTATATACAACTGGATGGTCTGGTGCAACGGAAGGTGACGCACATGACACAGACACTCAGCTACGTCACTTACCAAGAAAGACCAGAACGCTGACACTTGCCCAGTTTATACTATAGAAGGACAAGGGATATTATAATAGACGTTATAAGCACCTCAAAAGGCACTACACAAATACACAGTCAAACGTAAAAGTATCTAGGTGGCGGCCTCACTTTTACTATTGCTTTTGTTATTTGGAAAGTTGTAATTGAACAGGTGTCACGTACGATGTTACTATCAACGTGTTCCCGTTTTGGAAGATTAAAAGATTATTATTTGATTTTTTTTAATATATTATCAACTGAAAAGTGATTGATCTCGATTTTTTTGTATATAATGAGGAACTATTAAATGACATACATACATACATACATACATACATACATACATACATACATACATCCTTTTAAATCTTCCCCCACACATGACCATCACGCTTATAACAATATCAACAAAAAAGTAATAGCGGAACTTAACCTAACATGACCTGGTTGTGAGGCTGTGTAGGCGAACCTCCCAGCCCTTGCGAGGGAGCCTTCAGTGACAGTACAGTATATAAGCGGGAATACAGCCCTCTCACCATCACACTCCAACCATGGCTCTCAAGGTACGTCCACTCACCAACCTTCTCCCACACACGCTCTAATAGCAGTTTCATTTCCTACTGACGAAGCTCTTCATTGCATAATACCAAAAACTGGACTCCAGCTCCACGAGGATTATTTTCAGTCGATGTTTATTGAGAAGGCAAATAACACAGGACACCCCAGGGACAATGGTTCATGTAACTGATCTATGACAGCTTATGAATTGAATGTTAATGCTGTTCTGTGTAGCGAGGCCACGAAATGTTTTATACTGCCTGGATATAATTTATCGAGGCCAAAGTGTACGTGTCGTGTTTTACAGATCGTGGTCGTCATATGTGTGGCAGTCGTGGCCCTGGCCGATCAGCCTACCAGGTATTCTCCAGCATCATCACACCCCGCCCCCTCACACCACCAACAAGACGACGACTACCCTGACGTGAGTGAAGAGAGATCCTTTCTGAAATAGAAGGATGTATTATCACACAATTATCTTTCCATAACTTCATAATATCATTCAAGAAACCAGCTCATAGTCACACTTTATTTCCACCTAAGATTTAAGGCTGCACAAACTAAGATCAAACCACATCGTTACCCTAAAACTATTCGTTAACTACAAGGTTCGTTGTCCCTTATCAAGACAATATTTCTCTTGGTTGTATTAACCACTAACATTTGCCTTTTGTCTTTATTATCCAGATTATTACTTTTGGTCTCTAGAACATGTACGAGTAAGGTAGGCTCTCGCCGATAATATAATGAGCCAAAATATGCTCTGAGCTTCACTTCTTTATCTCGGAAAACATCCCAAATCATTATATTCATCAGTTTCGTAAACAAATACCACAGTTAACATATCGTTAATTAAGTCATCATCCTCTTCATTCATAAACACAGACATTGTCATCCCCTTGTCATCAAGTGGATTTCACGAATGTTCACTTTCTCAGGTTCCTCCCAAGTATGAATATAACTACGGCGTCGCCGACCAATATACCGGCGCCAACTTCGGTCACTCCGAGGTCCGCGACGGCTACAAGACCGAGGGCAGCTACACGGTAGACCTCCCCGACGGCCGCAAGCAGACCGTCAACTACGTGGACAATGGCGACGGTCTGGAGGCCGTAGTGACCTACGAGGGTGAGGCCCAGTACTCCGAAAACAACCCTGCCCCAGCCTACAAGCCCTCTCCCACTTACAAACCTGAACCCACTTATCGACCAAGCTATGAACCTGCTCCTACCTACAAACCCGCTCCCACCTACAAACCTGAACCCACTTATCGACCAAGCTATGAACCTGCTCCTACCTACAAACCCGCTCCCACCTACAAACCTGAACCCACTTATCGACCAAGCTATGAGCCTGCACCAAAATACCCTGTTCCAAGCTACGAGTCAACCCCTAGTCACCCTCCCCCTGCACACGGGCCTAGCTATCACGTGCCCATTTACAACGACTTCCCTAGCTACCCCGCCTACGAACCATCCCCAGCTTACGACCCGCCCCAAAATTACCAAGCCGAACCCCAGCTATAGCTATGACCCTGCCCCTAGCTATGACCCTTCCCCTAGCTATGACCCTGCCCCAAGCTATGACTCTTCCCCTAGCTATGACTCTTCCCCTAGCTATGACCCTGCCCCTAGTTATCCCTCCTCGTCATCTCCATCATACGCCTAGGTAAATTAGGTACATTTTTAAGTATATTATGTTACTCATTGTTTCATTATTAAAATAAGTTTATAAAAAAGCTACATCTTGTTTTCTTTACAAACGAACGAAGATATTACAGTTTCGACGGAGATACAAACACAGGTGTAGTGTTAATTTAAAGCTCCCTGTATAATAGGAAATAATCATACTATATTATTACTGTACCGTGAAACCATTACAATTAAACTTTTTTTCATATGATTGGTTAATCTAAGTAGCAGTGAAATTACGATGAGATTTTACAACAAAGCCAAAGCTAACATAAGTTACGGTATATCTGAAGGTCTTGTAGCATAGACAAAAATCTCATTCTCCTACAGACAGACTATAAGTCATCTGTTCGTGTCCTGTCAGTCAGAAAATCTGTGATCGGATCAAAGAATAGGTCCTGTAGTAATGTATTAATGTCTAAGGGTCAGTCGTTTGTGGGTTACTTTGTCGAAGTTTGTCCCACGTCATTGCTCTTTGGTCGTCTAATAGAAAATGTATCATATACGGTTACCTATGTTGTTATTATATGTCCTCTAAGGTGCAGATAGATTTATATTAAGTCATCTCACTACTACAACTACTACTACTATTTTTTTTAATGGCCTCCAGCCTCCCCCAATAGCCACACCTTCGCCGCCATTTTATTACCTTAAAATTAACTATCCTAATACATAAGTAGCTACCCTGGCTGTGTTGAGTTAGTTGAGCCGCAGATGTATGCGGCATTCAGTGACTGTTGCCTCAAAGTCGATATCTGAGACTGTTGTCTGCTTTGGGGCCAATGCTCTCGTTCCCCTGAGGCAAAGCAATGCAGACCTAAGCAGAGAGAAGGGCAGTCGACATCTCAACCAGGCTGTAACATAACTTCTGAGCTGCTGCTTCCGTTCAGATAACACCCCGCAATATTGGAAATTAATGATAATAATACTAATATGGTAAAGTATTTTTTGAGGTTATCTTATTATTACTACGCTTCAACATCGTCTTACTGTAGTAACTATTACAGTAGTCCATTTACCATTAAAAATATGAAAGATATAACTCTATGGATACTAATATTTACGGATATGAATGGACGATTAAACTGACCATGGTCGTACATGTTAGTTAACGTAAGTCCAGACGATTCATATTATGTTCAGTAGCCCATAAAACATGTAGCTATAACTTCTTTATTGAGTCCCCCAGAGAGACGTCCGTTTTCTCACCGTTTTCTCTCATGTATCTCAGAGACTCTGATATTTCTTAATTCCGCATATGGTGTTCAGAGATCCCTTGTGAGTGATGTTGAAAGCTTCAACTGTATTTACTTTTCGTGAAATTGTCAAACAAGTTCAGATTAGAGTCTGCCAGTAGAAGTGACATATCATGACATCGTCCTTGGGGACACCGTGAGTTTCCAACTGCTAATGAAGTTAGATAATTTTGATTCCCAATCATCAGAGAATGTGATGTTTGTATTGAAATTATTGTCAGTTTTATATTTTAGAAATTAATTAATATCCTGAAATATTATGTCAATCTTCTTATCTCCAGAATCTAACGACAAACTCTCAATAGGCTCTTGTCTATATTTTGATGAGGTCGTAAGAAAGACGTTATCAGCTTGTGTATTTGACATAAATTTCACTATTGCCTGGCAAGCTCGAACTCTGATTAGTTTGTAAACAATAGACGTAAGAAATTTATCTGGCCTATGACACTGATTTTCATAGCCAAATGTACAGCAAGTGATTTAAATGAGGTGTATGTCAATGCACGAATTGGCCTTTCAGCATGCCTGAAGTTTCCAATTACATGGTATATAACAGCGTGCATGGGGAAGTCACCTTTTCTGATGCTCTCTCAGCGTATCTCAGGTAGGTAATTAGTGCCTCACGCCCACCATATTAAGTGAATTTAACTCAGTTGAACTTTGTTGAATATCAGTGCTCATGTTTTAACATAGTTGAAAGTTTCACGTGCCAAGTAAGAATTAACGTAACTTAATCTGTGTCGACGCTATGCGTCTTCCTTGCCAGATGTATGTGATTATTTGTAATTGAGTTCAGACTTTTCTGATGCTCTCTCATCATATCTCAGGCATGGTGTGTCTTGTGGCTGATAGCTTCAGCTACCGGGGAGCGGTAGCTGAGGGTACCAGCAGGGCAGGATGTCCTTAATTCAGCGACATGAAATTCAGAGGGAGTGACACGCTGGGAGCTAGCCATGGGAGGATAAGTTTCACTAGTCCCGTGCGCCAGAGTCCATCCGACCCTATGAGTGTGCTTCACTTGTTTGTTTTGGTAAACACCAGCGAGTGAACCTGGTATACTAATCTCAATTATATAGCAAAATTATAATTGTCCCACTTGAGTATTGAAACCACGAAACATTGCTATTACCAGTATTAGAGTTGTTATATGAGTTTTACCATCCATATTGTACTCCCAACTGAGATGCTGGTGCATGTTTCCACGTTGTTCATTCAGTAATAACATGATGTAATAAGTAATATATTAATATCACTGATATTAGCAAGTGTGTAAAGTGACCACCTTTATTGTCAAGGAAATAATATAACAGTTGTTTGATGTTGTAACACATAACTGAAGATCTATTTTGTTACGTATAAAGTAAGGCCTTGTGGTCCATTCTTGTCTGAGTGTGTTCAACTTCTCATACTATTCACAGTTGATTTTAATAAATATTAATTTAGTATTGTATCACCGCTCCTTTACTGCTAACAATTGGTTCTCAGAAAATAAACACTGTAACCCACGTACCTAAGCTCGTCTACCACGCTACCAAACACTTTTAATGATACCAGTTATATTCTAATAAAGGCCTAGGTGGTGGCAGCCTACCGTGGAAGTATAATAATTATACTAATAGATGTTGTTATAGAATTATGTGGTTTTCCCAAGTTAATCCATAGAATATAATATAACTAAGCACAACTGAGAATAGTAGTAAGACGAAATGCACCAACAATAAGCACTGATAAATACTGAAAGAAGTAAGAGAAAAGTATAAGAAACAAATAATAACATTGAAAGTAATATATAAGATCTAGCAAAGAAAGATAAAGAATATTGAAATACATAAATAAATAACAACATTGAAAGAAATACCTAGAAATTAACTTAGAAAAGAATTAGCAAGTAAATGAGAAAATAAAAGTTACACGTAATATAACTAAGAAAATTAAAGAAGATTATATAAGACATGGAAATAACTTAGAAAACATAACCAAAGAAATTAAAGAAAGTGATATAAGTTATACTAACAGTAAATAAATAGAAAACAATAAATTATAAAAGAAAAAAATCTCTCCTCTTATAGACGTGTATTAATCAGTTAGTGAAATATAAATAACAGAACCTTTGATCCCCCCACCTCCTTATACGATAATTCCTTTTAAGACACAATCCGAGATATGCTAGAGACTGTTAATTGGTTGAAAATGTCCAAAGGAGGGCCAACAGACTGATGTTTGCTATACGGAACCTCAGCCACCCAGAGAGATTAGAGCGCCTGCAACTGCCTAGCTTAAACTACAAACGGGCAAGGGGCGACCTAATTAACGTGTATAAACATCTCAGAGGGCACTACTCGTCCAATGTATGCATATCTGGAGTTGGTGGACGCCCGCTCTACAAGGGGTCACAGGCTCACAGCTCGAGGTTGAAAAAGCCCTCCGGATCAGTGGCGAAGAGGATAAAAATAAAAGCAATTAAAAAAAGATTGTTCTTTAATTTGTAATTACTTTCTGAATAGCAGCTTGACACTGACCAAGAAATTCTACCTTTATAATGTAAATAATTCACATAACAAAATGTAAAAGACAAAAACAAAAAAAAATTCTTACTACTTCAGTTAACTTTAACACAGGTCTGAATCCAAACACTACAAACCCACTAAGATTCAGAAAAATGTTCAAACCCTTACGTAGAACATTACTTGATTTTTTCTAAATATTGGAACCAGATTGTTATGATAGAAACATTCCTACTTAAATAAGTCAGTATGAAGTGTATGTACAATGAAGTTTAACAGTTTCACTATTTGGTAACATGACTTGGTTACCTCCGCAGCCAGGTGTAGGGGTTCAGGTGTAGGGGTTCACTCGTCAGCTGGCCAGAGTTGCCAACATAGGGACTTTGTAGCTAGATCTAGAGCTTTTTGTTTTGTTCTAGCGACATTTTAGAGCGATTTGAGACTTGTCCCAAATCTAGAGATATCCACAGAAATCTAGCGACTTTCTGGATACTTTTGGACTGTCCATGAAAACTCAGTTTTCCTAATTTCGAGCCATAATATATAGCAACGGGGTTACAGGGACAATAAATAATAAGAAAAGTTTAATACATTTGAAGGGGTCGTGGTACAGAAGGAGGGACACGTCTATTTCCTGATCACTTGATGTCAGCCCGTCCATGGCTAATGTTGCCGTGTGTCATTTATTTGTCTATTACCTTCGCCTTTGTAGCACCTGGGTAACTTACCTTTTTGTCAGATATGCAATATGAATTTCATTAATACGCTAAATTTTAAAGAATATTAGCAAAACATCTTATAGAATTAATTCTATCAAGCCTGCGTGGTTCCAAACTTCTCATACGCGTCCACCATGGGTGACCCATAGACTCCATACAGTTGCCCCGACACTGTTCACCCGCTTTGCCAAAAACCATCAAGGAAAGTTTCCGCTTGTTTGCATGCTGTTTATTAATTTGAACCCTTCATAGTCCCAATAGAAAATGGGTAAGCCACAGTATTCGCAGCGATTTAGGAAGGAATGGCTCAGAGATGACAGATACAAAAATTGGCTTCTGGAGGTGCCAGGAGATAATAAAAAAGGATTTTGTAAATTTTGCAAGTGTACTTTGTCTGCTAAGTTGTGCGACATTGAAAAACACAAAAACACTAAAAAACACAAGAAAGCAGAAGAGCCGTTTAGTGCAGAAAGACAGACAATTTTACCATTCAAGAAACTTGGGAATAATAGCTAGCGACTTTCCATGGAAGATTTAGCTACATTTAGCTACTTTTAGGTACCAGCCTAGCGACATGTGAAGACCCGAGTTGGCAACACTGCAGCTGGCCTCCAGTGTAAACAAGACAGTCACTTCCTGAGGAGTCTTGATTTAGTGACCGGAAATTGTCTTTAATAGGTATTGAGTTACTTTTATTTAAATATGATAAAGTTATAAGTTGTCTGTATCTATCAAAAACATTATATTATAGTGTTTTTAGCCTTGAGTTATGTGTGGAACAGATGGTGTCCACATAGAGCATAGAATAAGATTTGCTGTATAACCATAGTGATAAGAACGGGGATAATGGATGTTTACTACTTCTTGTGATGGTTACCCCCCATGAAAGTTCTATGGGTTTAAAATGTGTAATTTTGAGGAAAATGTGAATGATTTACTGGACTCTGTGTGTGAGGTTATAGCTAATCTGAGATAATGCTTAACGACTCTGGCGTGTCCTCAGTGCCAACTTGAGGAAATTACTGCATATAAAATAAAAGCTTTCTTGCCTTGAGACACTTAGAAAAGTGCACAACAGATACAATTTGCATAATATAACCAAGATAAAGTAATTTTATGTCGTACTTTCAAATACTAAGATATGCTAATGCTCCTTAAACTTATAAGTCTCACATATGTCCCAGTCTGGATTTTTGCAGGCATAGAAACCTTACCTCCAGAAAGACTTAATATACCTAGAGAAAGTGCAACACATTGTAACTTAGATGGTTCCTGAATTAAAGCATCTCGATTATCCAATGAGACCGAGGGCCTTAGGACTAACGCCCAGAGTTTTTATTACCCTCTTCTATTGACGCGGGTTGTCGTGTTTACAATCAGAGTTAAAAAAAGTTTAAGTCACGAAAGTCACCGCACTGCAGTACTTGATGGGGAGTTGTGGCGGTAAAATTAACTAATTCCAATATTATAAGTTAATTTTACCACCACACCTTCCCATCAAGCACTGCAGTGTGGTGTCCTTTGTGACTCAAATTTTTTTAAAACTCTGAATGTAAGCATGAAGACCCTTGTTAACGGAAGACGGTGATTAAAACTCCGGGCATAACTCTCTTCAGTCAAGACAAAATAGGGTGGCTCTCTTAGAGACATTCAAAATCTTCTAAAGGATGGAAAATATGAACCCGCGCCATTTTTTCATGATGTTGTGCACCAGCAACACGAGGTGACACAACTTCAAGCTTGCCAACATATTATACTGGACGAATATAAGGAAATACTTCTTCATGCAGAGTGTGGTAGACCTGTGGAATGGTCTGCCAACTCAAGCTGTGGAACCGAGAAAGGAACTGGAGATATCCTTCACAGGTCATTGACCTTTTTTCCTTGGCATGGCTATATGATTATTTATGTCTATTAGGTGGATCTGTGTCTGTCGTACAGGTATTTGTTTCAGATCAAACTGATTTTCTTAAAAATGATATTTTTCTTTTAGAAGAATAAAATACTGTACAAGACAACTATAGTATTTTAGGTCAGGTTAAGTTAACTAGTGTAAGGTTTAGTAGGTTAGATTGGTTCTTGTAAAAGAAAAATATTTCCTTGAAGATTAGATAGCTTTTCAACCCAAAACAAACATGAAGGACACTGGGTCACCAACCAGCCGTAAGTAATCATAAAAGTTATATTTTTTCATGCACTTTATGTCATTTACTCAAGGTAAGAAGACTTTATCTGCTTTGGAGTAATTTCCTCAAGCTGGTGCCAAAGGTGCACCACAGTTGTCGAGTATTAGCTACCTAACTAAGTAGGTAGTCCTCTAAGTAATACTTGATGAGAATGATTCGTCCTTAGCAGCTACCTGACAAAATTTCTCCATCGAAGATAAAAGCTCTCTTACCTCGAGATACATAAAAAAAATGCAAAAGGAATTTGTTTTGTATCATTTCACTTTTAAGATCTCTTATGTTTTTCCACGTCCAGAGGAGCTCCTCTTGACCCTCTGTCCGCCCGCTATGTTTATATACCTTTCTCAGATCAACCAATAGCTTGTGCCTTTCACTCAGAGATTATTATTATTATTCACAATGATTTTTTTTTAATACAGAAGCTGGTGATAAAAAATAGGAACTATTCAAGTAAATTTAGCTTTTCGTCTGCCACAATCTCTCCAACTAATTTGTAACAAGCAATTCTTACATTGTATTTTAATGGATTACCAATAGTGGTTGCTGTATTTGATTTATAAAATACAGTAGCTACAGGATACCAATTTTTAGTGTCTGTTATCCAGAAGGCCAAAGATTGGAGGGAACTATTAAGAATAAGAAACAAGCTGTGATGAGCAAATACAACAACATTGACCTGACAAAATTATTTCCAAATGGATTAACTTATTGTAAATACCAGTAAGGTATTATTAAGATGAATTCCTGTTAGTTCTTATTTAACTAGTCTTTTGTAATCTAACCTTTCTAACAAATAATACTGTGTTATAAATTTCTCAGGTATTGTGGAACATTCTCCGAAATCAAAGCTTTTAATTACTGTAATTGCTTATATGTAATTGTGTTCTCAGGTGCTTTTGTGTTCACCATGAAGCCAGCAGGAGCAGTGCTATACCCTGTACAAGGTAACTTATTTTGAATCTCTTGATTGTTCTTCATTCTTAGACAGTTAGATCTCTCTGTAAAGTTCACTTATACTGTATTAGCTAGGTATTGAATAATTATATAATGCAAATTTTATGGCAGATATAATTTTTGTCTCATTTCTTTCTTTGCATAGTACCATTGCAGGAATTATCTGACATAATTTTCAGTAATCAGCCATTTGTAATAATTTTAGTCATGTACATTTGTAATGAATTAATAAAAAAAGGCATATGTTTTTGAGTATTAATTCTTGGCTCTACTACTGGCATATCATTATTTGTCTCTAATGCATAAAATCAAGTTCATGCCACATCACGTGTTCCCAGAAATACTTTAAACTGTGAAAATAGGATGTTCATATAAAAAAAATTCAGAAGATAAATGGACAATCATTTTTTCCTTCCTTGTGGTAATATATAATTATAATGGTAGTACAATAATTGTAAGCATTTTCTAGGTGTGACACTTCATAGAGTTGCTGCTGGCCAGAGATCACAGGGAGATGGCGAGGAACAGACTCCAGTTCCTTCTTCCCAGACACAGGAATCTACAAAAACTCTTCTCCCGTCATCTGTGAAACCTCAGAATCCTTCAAGAAAGACCAGCAGAGAGGTCATAGATACTGATGGAGATATACACAAAAATAAATTAGAAAATACTGCTCAACTAGGGAAAGAAAGTACTACTCATAATGTTAAGCAAACTTCAAATAAACTTTTACCTGAAATTGCTGACATTGCTCATAAGCTCACGAAAGTTTCCATCATGTCATCCCCAGACTCTTATTTACTTAATGCTCCACCTAAAGACTTACACACAAAAAAGATCATACGTTTGACTCCAAAGACTAAAAACTCAAGTTTATTCCTGAGTGCAAGAGAAAAAACTTCAAGTGTGTCCCTGTACTCTCAAAAGAGAAAGGATCCCAAGTTTGTTCCCTACGAGCCCTATAAGGGATGTGTGAGACCAATACTTAAGAAAAAAAGTAAAATAGGGAGTAAACAAAGAAACGATGAAACCGAGAAGACTGAGACAATTGAAGAGGACACAAGTAACAAGACATGTGAAGACAAACAGACTGCAGGTGCTGTTAGTGACCACAAAAATGCTGAAAAGGTAGCATTCATATTGATTGTTTTTGTTATCAGTTAACCCTTATGCTCCGTGAGGCCACATTTGTGCCATACAGGTACTGACAGAACCTGTGAGGCCATGTTCGTAGCCCAGTTCAAATATGGCAGGCTTGAAATATTGGAAACATTTCTCCTCGGAATGAAATGACCAAATTCTGCCTTGCCATTGGCCAGTCGTTCATGTGTAGGCAGCCATTCAAAATGCAATAGTATATATTTAATATAAACATTCCAGTCTGGCCGCCCTTTCATGCCGATAAGCGGGGGGTCATGTTATGTTACGTATTTAGTGTTTTTTATAGGTTTTTATGTGGAATAACTATAATTTCTCTATAAATGAATGCTTTAGGTAAAAGATAAGGTATACTTATATAGCTGACAGTACTGTTTTGTGTGATAAAAGTCATGGTCTGTGTGTATCTCATCATGGCAGAAGGTGTTTACCCACTGTCATAATTATTACGTATTATTATATCTTTATTTCATGGCAAAGTACTGCTTCTAAGCTTTCAAATGATATACAGTATACTTTTCCATGTTTTGCATAAACTATAAATTAATAAAAAGAGAAACAATAGAATGTCTAATATGCGCCCTTGCAACAGATTTTTATCGACGCAACTTGTAAACAATAGGCTCCAACTTAACCTAACCATCAGCTTTAGAGGCCCATTAGGACTAGCAACTACCTATCTCTCGGTTTATCGTACACCATTTCCAACAGAGATTTGAAGACAAGTTTGAATAGCGTATCTCAACTTGTGTATAGGGAAGAAAAGTGGAACAAAACATTTCATAAAAAGTAATTATCATTTGAGAGAAGGAAAGAAACACTGCATCATCTTCATATTAAATTATTACTTACCTAAGTTGCATATGACGTTATACTAGGTAGAAGTTTGTTGTATTTTACGCACAACTTGAATGTGTACTGTATACTAAAAGTTAAGGCATGTATACTGTTGTAATGTAGCTTCTGTTGCAGTAATCTTCTTCATTACCATAGTTGATTGGCTGCTCTTAGAAACAATGTAAAGTACAGTGCAGTACATGTATATTAATTTAGCTTAAGTATTTCTTGACTTGAGGCCCAATACAGTACAGGGTAGAGCTACAAATGGATTTGCTTCTCCTGTCCAGTTAAGATTAGATATACTTCATTACTGTTATTCCACAGAACTTGAACATCAAGACGTCACATCCCATACTAAATCACACTGGACAACTACTTGTCATGTGGTAGTTGTGGAAGTGTCCACATGCTGGACACTATAACTTGCTGGTAGTGCGGTAGTTTTCTCCGGGTGTCAGGTCCTAATTGGTTGTTTTGTTTGTATGGATGGTTTCAGCTGTATGACCTGTTCCTATCAGTAGATATTGGTAACCATTAATTTCTGCAGTTAGGCATGGCTGGCACCAATTAATGTGGGAAGTAGAAGCCTTTCTATGCTTATTACATGAGATGTAGGATAATTGACCATTAGTTTAACAATAAACATACTGTATTGTTTTATGTATCTTCAGCTAAGCATCTTAGTAAAGGATTTCGAGAAAGAGAGAGCAACTTGGGAGAAGAACACAACAAAACTGAAGTCAGAGAATAAAAGTTTGGAAGACCAACTCAGCCAGATCAAGAAAGAAAAAAGCAACTTGGAGAGTCAGCTCAGTGTTCAGTCACAGGTATCTGTCAGTTAAGCTTCTTTAAATGGATTATACCCCATTGCAGTCACACTAGATATGATATATAACTTGGTCAGAAGAAAATTTAACTGCATTAAGTTGGGTGCATGTTTATAAAATGTACAGTTCTCCTAACAGTAAGAAATTACAATACAATTAGGAAGAGCTGCATCCTGGAGAGCTGGCATCAGGTGATCATGGCTAACTCTTGCAAGCGTGAAAAATGGCTGTAATATATTGATGATGTTTGACCTGAACTGTCATTTTAAGTATATTTCTCTGGGGATATCTTTCTAAAGTACATTGCAAGAAGGGCTTGATCTTTAGTGTGATGAATGTTACTAGAAATACTTGTTTTTAATTCTATTTACTTTAAGGTTAATATTTTCGAACTGGGGAACTTTTTGATAGTTCCTTGACAAACCACCTCCTCCATCCCTCTCCTCACAGCACATGATGAATGACCCTAAACCAGTGAATAAAGGATTAAAGTATAAAATCCAATTTTATGGCTGGGGAAAAATCCGATAACCGGAAATAACTCCCCCTTTTCCGGATGGGTTTTCTCATCAGTAGGACCATGTGAGGTTTGATGTAGAACTCCTAAGTTTATGACTGAGAGGGTCATGTCAAGTGAACTAATTCAGTGGTCATCCTGGTGTACCTGTTAGCTTGCTGGCTTCTAAACAAGCACCAAACCATGCTGGGAACTTATCTCAGGCACCTTGGTTCAACTGATCAAGTACAGGTATCTTTTTATGCAGCCTTCTATCATTCTGAATGAATAGCATACCTACCTCAGGAATGAAGGAAGCGCCTGGATAAGGCTGAGTCTGTCATGAGATCCTGCCAGTTATTTGTGGTTTCCCATCAACCATAAAATAGGATTTTATATTACAGTCCTTTATACTGTATTTTGTTTTGCTTATCATGAGATAACCACTTTGTACAGTCCAGTATTACTATTGTATGATATTGCACTACAGGTCAACACTGAACTGAAGAAACTGTTGGTTGCATCAGTTGGTGAAGACGTCCAGGGAAGGGTACAGTGCCTAACTGAAGACAAGGCACGTATGGCAACTATGATACGGCATTACTCGGAGAAAGTTGACCGGGATTATGAAGAAAAAGAAAGAATGGGAATTCAGTGTGATGTTTGGCGTTCTAAGTTTCTTGGTAGCAGGTTAGTTTATTTTTCCTGTTGTTGCTGGGTATATCACATGGATTGTGTACTTAGAGAAGGGGAGGAAAATTAGATTATTAGGGGAATACAGTATGGAGAGAGTTTTTTGAGTTTGAGTGAAGTATTTTTAAGAAATTCATTTATGTGTCATTTTAAAAGTACACATGAAGACTGTGGTAAAGAGGGGAATAAAAGAACATTTGTCTTAGTAACTTTGTGGACTTGTTTAACTACTTTTGTATGGATTCCCCTCTGCACTGAATAAAAACACCTGGCATTGGCCTTTTATACTGTATTCCATTATGTAATTCCACATTTCTCCTTGTATCAGTACTACCACAACTTCTTTCATTCCTGTTGTTTCAGACATTTCTGTTTTTACTCCCCTCACATGTTCCCAGCTCATCTCTCTGTTGCCCTTTGGTTAAGTTCTCACCCAAAATTAAGACACCGGGTTCCTTTCACTCACCATAGTTTCAGTCACTCTTTTCTGGTCCTTCTCTTCACATCCACACTCACACATACTAAACACTCTAGTCTTTTATGTTCTCCCACTTATTTGGGTAACTGAATACAATACAAGGTGGGAATACCAGCCACACACTCCCAGACTGAAGAGGAAAGGGACAACACTTTCAGCAGGTGACTTTGCTTCTTTGCACATTGGTAATTTAAAGTTGGTTTATATCACTGTCAAAGATAACAGTACTACTCTGACACCAAACATTATCAGTTTTCCTGGAAGCATTTACTCCTTCATTATTTCTGTTTTCTTTTTAATGTTTTGTTTTTATTATTATTTTTTATGATATATATTAGACCCATAAGTATTATTAATATTATTATTTATGCTTATTACTACGGTCATCTACAGCATGATGGTGGACGAGTTAGTGGGGTGTAAAGTGTCACTGATGCAGAGAATGATGGAAGCTGAGGAAGCATTAAGGGTTGTGATAGAAGAACACGACTTGGTGAGACAGCACGTGCTCAACATGTACAGGTGAGATTGGTATTCAAATGCTTTTTCAATGTAAAAGTATGTTAGTCTTACATTTTGGCTATTTTTTTGCACAACAGTATATACTCTGGAGGCAGATAATCTCGGATTTCCTCAGGGAGTAGTGACCCTGCCTTGTAAGCTAAGAGGGCACTTGGAAGTCAGATATATAATGCCCAGTTCTCACTCTGTAAGGGTGGGTTGGTAATAGGAAGGGTATCGAGTCATAAAATTTGCTTCAAACTTGGCTGATAGCAACCAAAACCCCATGCCATCGAGTAATTATAGCTAACCCATACAAGTGTGGAAAATGTCTGTAAAATGGTAACTTAGTTAATCTTGGGTAATAAGTAAGTACAGTATAATAATAAATTATTGATTGAACAGAGAGGTTCAAAGAATCTTGCCTTGGAACATAGACTATTCTCTCCATATTTTGACAGAATGAACAAACAGCTTCGTGATGCATTTGACCCTCTTGCTGCTCAGTTGGGTGGCGTCCCTCCCTTGGCCTCAGCAGACTTGGTCACATTGGCTGTGGATGGTGATGTTTTAGCAGAAACTGTAAGAGACCGTCTGCTTGGTGACCTCGGCCGCTCTGTAGGCTGCTCCCTCTCCTTAGAAGGCTTGGAAACTCAAACACCTGGGGAGAAAATGGCCCGGCAGGTAATCTATTAGCATGCCGAAAGATCCTTATTTCTCAAATATTGATGTGACTCCTGCTCAAGAAGTGGGTTGCCTTTGATGTCCTTCTGCTGAAAATTTTGAATTAATTTGACACAATGACATGGTATTGAAATTCGGTTAATTTAATTGTGATCTTTAATGAAATAAACATAAATTGGAGAATGCAAACTTCAGGGAAGAGAGTGAAACTTAGCAACAGTATAAGAGAAGGAAATTACATTTAATTTGATTTAATTTCTCAGCATATGTGGCTATTGCCTTGCCATATAAATTTTGTTATGTTTTATTAGTTTCATTTGAGTACAGTACAGGTAATACCATGTTTTACATAAGCAGTGGTCAAGGACATAATGCTTTAACCTGAATATGTTTCTGAATACTGTAATTACTGTTGCTGTATTCCACATTATTTTAGTGTCTCCAAGTCAGTCATTTCATATCATTATTGTATTACCTCACATCAGGCTGTCTTTTCTAAGTGTGGCTTTCTAGTGCACTTCATTCACCTCATTATACATCCCATGTGTGACAGCTGAATGTTGTAGCCCAGCCATGATGTTCAGAATACAGCAAATCAATCCTCTTCCCAGCAGTACAAATTAAGGGTAACTGATTTTAGTTCTTTATAGAACTGCTATATATTATCTATAATAAATGACACCCTTACAAGCTCTTATAGCTGTAGATAAACAAATAAATATTTTTAAGGAAAAGATGTAAAAGCAGATGCAGGACTCATAGGCAACTCTCTTTTAAAGTGTGTAAAGAGAGAAAACTGTAAAGAGATGCAGATTGTTGGTTTCCATTAGAGCTAAATAAACTACCTTAGATTTGTTACTAAACTATGCTCATCTTGCTAGAATGAGGTCTTGTTAAAAGAAAATACCCGAATGCAACCTAAGAGATACCCAGTAGAAGAATGTTATCTCAAAGAATACCCTGTACTGTATAGTGCTGGGGGGAATAATATGTTAGAATGAACTATTGCTTTCATAATTTCCTGATAAGTTGAGCTCACTTCTGATGTTTCAGGCTTGTGGGAAGATAACCAAGAAGTCCCTTGTGAGTAAAATGAAGCTCAGCGTATTGTGAGCATAAAATTTGGCCTATCTGGTGTTCAGCTTCCTCATGTAGCAAAAATGTAGCTACTTTATTCAGTGAATGCAGTTGATGGTTTTTCTTGCATTTGATTGCTTTTATTAGTGTTTTGTTTGAAATTGAAAATTCTAAATGCTGTTAGTTGTTGTTTTGCAATAACATTTGGTGTGCCTCTGCTTGTCAAATCTTAGCAAATCTTCATAAAGACTCAAGGAAAGAAGAAGTGTTAAATTTGATTATTTTCAGCATTTCACATATACATTGTATTAACATTTATTTGAAATGAAAATTTTTTTTTACAGAATTTTGCAAGATACATTTAGTTTTTTACCATACCTTGAGAAAATCTAAGATTTTCATTTAGTCTCTCATTTGTTCCAGCTTTGGTGGGGAAAAGGCTGGCAAGGGTTTGGTAATAAGATTCATGCATATATATTATCTAGGTAATCAATATTGTATGCCTGTTACTGTACAGTATATAATTTCACTATATTTTAAAATGGAAATATTTTTTTTTTAGTTTCTCTACTGCTTATTTTCATAAAATATTATGCATCAGGGTGGCCCATTGCTTTTGTTACACACACCCATCTCTCTATATCTCTCTCTCTCTCTCTCTTTCTTTTAGCCATATTCCATTCTGTTTTCAGTCTTTTCTTCTGAATATCAATAAAACATTTAGAATAGTAACCATTCTTTAAAAGACTCTTGTGTTTAGTATAAGTGTACAATGACTTATTTTGCACCATTCATTCTAAGAAGCAACAGTAGTGATATAGGATGTAACCTCTCAACTTTTTTATTCCAATAATTTTTTTTTCTTTAGTACAGTCCACAAGTACACTGTTTGCCTTTTATTATGGCAAGTTATAATTTGTTAGGGAAATGATAATACAGGTGTACTCTCCTTTTGTTAAATAAGACCAATATATTATTCATTCCTATGTGCATTTTATCGGAGCATTTCTTCTATTCCTGCATTATCACATATACTATGCCTTTCATTTCTTTAAGCTAACATAGATCCTTTCACTTCTTGGTTTTGTCACATTTCATATACATTACAGGTACAGGTACTAATTAGTAGAGTTGCCGACACTTATACCTGATAAATTTTGTGAGATGTGGCAACTCTGTGGAATGCTCATCTAGCACCCTTGGTCTGGCTATTATTGCAAGGTTTTTTAAGGCCATTCTGGGAGTTTTAATTCAATGTAAAAAACACAGTTGCCACATCTCGGAAAACACACCAGCCACTGTACCAGGTATGAGTGTAGGTGACTGTACATCAGAACAGGACTTTCTCCATAAACCTTTTGAGGATTAATATTTATAAGTCATCCTGTTGTAAAAGAGGAATATAACTTGGATTATTTGTAGATAAACTCATATCAGTTCACTCCATGTTCGGATGATTTCTAAACAAAGAATACCTGGACGATGAAATGTTTAACTTTTATCCTACTATCTTGACACACATTACTATTATTCACCAGTTGATTGGTCGTATGTGCGCCAAAGAGGAGCCGATTTGTGCCGAGTGCAGTACTGTATCACCAGGCAGATCGGCCATGATGCACCGCTTCCATCCAAATGCCCGCTTTGAGCACGTCACTGTCAACTGCTGCTCACACTGCAACGGGGAGATCAAAGTTGTGTGATTAAGGATAACATTATCTTTGTCATCATAGTTCATAGTCTTTATGCAGGATGTATTATCTGTTATTACATGGCATATACAGTATATAAGGACAATCATCAATTTGTGATAATGCCATCTATTGTAAAAGGATTCTCCATGTAATGTATAACTTGAATACATGCAATCATTAGTGTAATTTTATAGGTGCTGTACTTTGTGATACGTATATAGCATAGTTTGTTACATTTTTGGCTGTACTGTATTAGTCAGCCCAATGAATGCTTTTCCTTATTGATTTACTGATGACATTTGAATAATGTCCTGACTAACTGGTAGATGCATTCTCCTTGCCTTGGCTAATACAGCAATGATATAATTGTTGGTTACCCTTGTGTTTAGGTAAATCATTTAAAACCTGGTTATGTTCTTAAGATGAATACTGTAGAAGATATTAATTTGGTGACAAAGAGAAACATATCCTTACTCATATCAAGAAATATCAATAATTTCCATACATACTGACCTAACACCAGTGTAGGAACTTATTCTATGTATGTATACAGTATGTCTGTATGTATATAAGAAAGGACTTTAAGTTTTATTTCATAATTTTTTTTTAAACCTTGTTATATTTTTGTATATTAGTCTTTGTATAGAGTTTATAGTTAATATACTTTAAGGGAAATATTCATTTTTAAAATTGTATACTGTAATATCCTGATTAGCAGTAACATTATGTATTGTTTTTTGTGATAACTTTGTGGGTTGATTGAGGCAGTACAGTACATTTAAGATGGTTGATGACTTAATATGTCATCACGAAGAGGAGTTTTACTGACGTATCTAATCACAACTATTCTTGCACCAACATTGCTATAATGTCAGTTTCTATCACCAAACAGTCACTTAAAGCACATAGTGGAGTAGGGCCATTGTTATTTTACTGCAGCCATTCTGTGAGTAGATCATTACCCTCTATAGTTTACCCAGAGACAAGTGCTGCTGCTTGTTAGTCATACATTAGAATTTTCTTTGAATGCTACAATTGTTATCACATCATTAAGGATCCATACAAAACAAAAATCTTAACTCTTGTCTATCCTTTCATGGTACAGTGTAAGGTGGCTGAAATCAAAAGCAACACAGCTTTATTCCTCATTGCCTTTTGTTTTTCCTTTCTGACTGTTGTATCAGATGTATTCTGTTGTGATGCTGTACCCCTCCATAACACCTAAAGATATTAAACAACTAAGCTTGTACACTAAACCCCTCACATCTAGATTTTACTTCAAAATGATTCAAAAAGTCTAGAAGACAACCCAAATGGTCAAGCCAACAAGAAGAACATAACAATGAACTCACCACCCTGCTTAGTCCCAATACTGTATGATAATCTCATTCATTTCCAAAACCCAAGTTGTAGAAGAATTACAGGTAAAAATGGCTACCAAGCAGATGAGAATTGACCATTTGTTCAAATTGTTATAATTATTATATCCAGGTCTGGGCAGCCCTTTTTTTTCTGATTTTGTTAAAGTTATGTCTTCTAACCAACACCATCTCCTATACCCTTCTAGGACCTCAAGCCCATTGAGTGTCATATACGGGGTTGCTCCAGAACTTTCTAAGGTTGTCAAGAATTCTAACTGATTATAGTAACTTCTTGCATAATACATGTTGGGAGGATGGGACCTGCATGTAACAGGCAATCAACAACACACACAACCTCTCACTACTGTTCATCATCATCCTTCTCTTTGTTTGGTGAGTACCTGAGTTTTAATTTAAGGATTAGATTGATTCCAAGGAATTTTGGTCTAATTCGATCCTTTAGTAATCCAAACTACCCTTGTGCTTAATTCATTTGGATTTGAGTGGTTTTAGTATGTTTATTTAAGAGTATAGAAAGGTTAATAAGTTTTCTTGATGTTTTACCAAAGCAATTTAATTTAGTAAGAATTTTCATATTTCTTGAAAGTCAAATATTCCTGTTTTTATGTAAATGCTCTTGAGAGAAAAAAAATGCATGTAGAGGTATATGAATGTTTATATGTAAATGTGGGAACTTAAGTATGAAATTATGTGCATTTATGTGTGAAATATATTACTTATTGCCCCAAATAATCCCTTATACAGCATGATTCATTGTTAATACCATGAAAAGCATTGTCATTTGTGGTATTTCCTGGTGAAGCATATATTTATGTTTATTTGCCAAATACTGTTTTGATAGTTAACCAATTGATGAGCCATATATCTGAATGAACTCGTATCCCTTTTTCAGCCAAACACATTGAGAGAAAATACATTTCTTGAAACTCTTCTAATTCTAAAGGGTTATGAAAGGTGATGACTGTTTTCTGCTGTCTGAAATATTTTATATGCTTTTTTTTATATTGACAATTTTGGACTTTCATAGATGGAAATTTGAATGTTTTTCTTGCCGAGAATTATAAACAGGTGTAAAGAAACATATGCAATGGAGTTTTTATTTTAAAGATATACTAAACTTTTACTTCAAATAAAACACATAACACCATTCACATTCATTATTCACCCAAGAACAATAACATTATGGGTTTCTTTCATTGTGAGATGATGTTAATAACTTATCATCATGTAGCACTTATTTGACATATAGTACTTATATAATTTCTAATACTTGTGCTTGTGTTAAGTTTGGTACTGTACATAATGCATATATAAAGGTAATATGGAGAGGTGTATGCAAACTTTTTTGTATCTATGGGCACTACATTACCTTAAAATGATGTCCACCAGTGTGTCAGCTATTATTGTGCTTCGCAGTTTTCTTTAATGGATAATATTGCAAAGACTATTACAGTACTCTGGGAATAACTTGTTTTTTTTGTGTGAAATATTTTACGAAGAGAATATCTGGTGAGAGAAACTGACAGGTTAATCCTGGTTTGTTTGATCAACACAGTCGACGTAAGTCTTCACACCGAAATGGATTTTATGCCCTTTTTCTACTAAATCCTCTAAAAGTTATTTTCAAAAACTATTTGGCTACATTTAAAAAAACTTAGTATAGGCTATAAATAAAAAAAATAGAGTAAACTTTTTTAAACACTTTCAAATAAAAATTTATAAAACTTTAAATACTGTATATTGTTTTTTTTAATTTGCATTAGCTTTTTAATTGTCAATATTTAAAAAAAAGAAAAAGGCAAAATTTGGCAGGTCCCTGTATTAACTATCTCGGTTGCCTTGATTGAAGTGTTCAGTTTGCACATCAAAATTAGTTTCTTAAAATTTAACTACTAAATAGTTTATGTATCGTAGAAAAAATACTTTAGAAATTTTTTTTTTTTAATAAGTACAACATTTACAAAAATTATATTACAAAACTCCCCATCTAGACAAACTCGCTGGTTATAAGCAAGCTGTAAAGTTGTACTGTAATGCAAATAATTACTGATAATACAGTAAATTCTTAAACAAGCATCTTTCATTTCAGTGCCAGGAAGAGTAATGTATTTTATTATGCAAAAACAGCTGAAATTATTGTACATAATAATGTAACTCAACTATGTTTTGCACAATACAGTAATATCTCTCTTAGCAGGAATTCCTCATACCCGGAACTCTCCGATAACCGGAATTGAAATTTTCTCGGAAAATCGTTCCCAAAGCCGGAATTTTCCTGAAAATTCCAGCTTTGGGAACGATTTTCTGAAGGGCACATTTTCTGGAAAATCCCAAGAAAATTCCAAGGATGGAGGATTTTTATTCCGGGTTTGAGAGATGAAAATCGGACATTTTCCTGAAATTTTGAGAAAAATTTTCCAGTACCTGAAAAATTCCAGGTATGGGGGATATCTTTCTGGGTTCAAAAGATAATGTAATGCGTAATTTCTGGAACTTCCGAGAACATTTTTCCGTTACCCAGAAAATTCCGGGGATGAGGGATTTTTTTCCCGGCTTTGAGAGAGTCCTCCTGTTACCCGAAAATCCCTCATTCCCGGAAGTACTCTGCACCAATTGTTCCGGTTAATGGAGATATCACTGTAGTTTCATCTTCACTTGCATATCACGATATTTCAATCTTCCTGGCAGTGAAAAAAATGCCTGTCTGGAATTTACTGATTCAGTAATTATTACATCTTTACAACTTAGAATACAGACTATGGTCACTATGTACTTATAATTTATAAGTCTTAAGTGGGACCAAGTCCCTTGAGGCATCCCAGTAGCCACTCAGGTAATACATGTTCTTTGGATGATAGTATAGTATGTAATAAAACGATACGACAACTTCTTTATTTTAGATATAATTTTTTTCTAGTTTTCTCTTTCTACGATCATAAATCACCTGTAGTGGACAGGGTATGAAAGATGAAGGAAATTGTGGGGTAAAGTGGTAAACACAGTAAAAATTGATTATATGACACTAAAAGTATGTCCGAATTGTTTGTACACCAAGAAATTAATTACTGTATTTACCATAAATACTACTTAGAAAAATCTGCCATTGTTATCTGCAGTTCAATACAAAAACGTAAAATTACACACCATGATGCTTCAATAAAGTTACTTTCATTGGTACTACGTATATATGAAAATACAGTAAGTAGTTTCTGTTTATGGCGGTGGGTCAGGGGCTCTGCTCTTGGCCAGAAAATTAGGTTAGATTAGGTAGCTTTCTTTTATTTGTTAGGTTAGGTTCCATTAAGTTCTGTACAATTTATCATATCGTGTTTATTACTAACATCCAAAGAACAACCATGGAAAAATGAACAAAATCGAAATATGCATTTTGGTGTTAGCCATCTGCTTTCCGAGTGAGGTACAGTAATTATTAATTACTATTTACCGCGCTAAACTATCGAGTTTGGCAGTTTGGTCAACAACACAGCCGGCGCTCTGCCTTCCTCATACCCAACAACCTCAGACGTTAGTTAAGTGACACAGAGTCCTGACGTGACAGTAGATTATTCCTAGTGATTATCATGAAACGTGAAATAGAAAGTTAATTTGAACATCATTGAAATAATAACTCGATGAAGAAAGTTAATAAAATATTTTGAAAGTTAGTGTGAAGTTATACTGTATAATTAAATTAGTGAAGGAGTGTTTTGCAAAAGTGTGAAGACGGTGGAAAGTGAGTCGTATCGTGCTAACTAGTGTATATAATGCTAACAATTGTGTATCATGCTAACTAAAGTGTATTTTACTAATTGAAGTGCATCGTGTTAACTGAAGTGTTCCTCCAACAAAGCTTTCTGGTATTAGCCATCTGCTCCAGGATTACCATTGTTAAATATGTCATAGTGAGTATTTAAAATAACACTAGCGAATCTTACTTAGAAAAGATAACGTATTTTTTGTATTAAGACAGACGTGTGAGGTTTTGTAATATTTAATTTTGAGTATTAAATTTCTTAAGAAATGACCAGCAATGTTTTCGATGGTAATTACTGCTGTGAGTGTTTGTGTCAGATTGTCTTATCTTTATTATTGTGACAGTTGTGATAAAGCTAATTATGTGTTCACATCAATGTACGCTGTAGTAATCAGGTAAAGACCAAGGTCTGTAGAATGTCTAACACACAAGGTGGTCTGGTCACTCATCAAAGAAAACGGAACCTCTCCGAGATGGTGACGTCACTTGTGCCCACATCAAGTCTGCCGAGCACTTGTTCAGTGTTTGGGTGTTTATCACAAATTACAAAAAAAAGAGGATAATATAACAAAGAAAAAGATGGATTCACTTGTACAAGAGGAAAGACTTTATAACCGCTGAAAATGGCCAAATTTGCAGCTTGCATTTTGAGGCCAGTGCGTTTGAGAACTTGAAATATATATTGCTTTGACTGTCATTACCAAGAACATTTGTAAGGATTAAGAATGAAGAAATACCAACATTACAACTGTCATGGTAAAAGGTAAGCCTACATTATTTCAGCTACAACGTAAAAATAGGAGTGTTATAACACAAGGCAGCCTACTGTGATCCGAAATTAAACGTACCCCAACACAATTTCGAATAGCTTTTATATATTTCAAAGAAGCAGCAAAATACTATGCATAGCTTCTTTTGATGGAGTGTCAGTTTTACTATTTTATTCACAAGTTTTTGAATGACCGTAGTTGAATGTTGGAGGGAGATGTGCTTATTTTCACATCAATTGGTTATCAATGGAGGTAGCTAAACCTCTCCTCCTCTAATTTCAGCTCTTATATTGTGGTTGTTTGCCGTCATGACCCTCTTGCAGATTATAAACATTAAATTATATAATTAATTAGGCTCTGCTAGAACCTAGGAACATTATAAATTGGGTATTAAGTTTATGATGAAATTCAGCAGTTATTCGGTATTCATTTATTGATAAGTTAAGTGTTCCTCGAAGCATATGGTTAGCTAGAAAAACCTCCATGCACGAAACACACACACACACACACACACACGCGCGCGCGCGCACAGACACAAAACTGTAAGCAAGAGAAGCTTCATTTGCTTCCTAAATATAAACAAAAGACTCAAATATGGTGAGATAGTTTTTTTTTTAAAGATTTTTAATAATTTAATTAATAGTTGTATATATTTGGAGTCGGCATACTTTTTTATTTTAGTTTTTGTTAATTAAAAAAATATATATATATCGAGTCTTTATTTCAACCGCTGGGATTTTTGTTGCGTTTTTTTATTAATTGAAATAAATGTGTGATAATTTTAGTTAATTTACGTGTCCTTTTTTTATTTATCATTGTACTATTTTGTTTAAGAGACCTTCCCCTTAGAGAACACACTGAGGATCGTTCACGTATTATTGTTTGGTTTTATCTCTCGAGCTCCTTAGGGGGTGAGAGACGAGAGCCCAGTGTGTAGTGACCATTCGTTCTCGGGATTAATATAAATATTCCCTGTATACATAGTGTGTGTGTGTGTGTGTGTGTGTGTGTGTGTTTGTGTGCATACATAAATACAGGCCACCATGTGTTGGAGGTTCATAGAATTAAGCTCGGCCTCCGTCACTTATACCTCATGCCTAGTTGTTTTCAAAGGTTATATTTAATTATAAAATTATAGGCACGTGTTGAGGCAGAGAGCCATTTACCGTATCGATCCTGCGTCGGATTATCAGCATCCTTGGACAGGTATCTCCTTAACCAATTAACCTTGGCAGGTGTATTGTGGGTATCCTAAGTCCCTGAGTTACGATACTCAGGGAAAAGTTCACTTAGGGCGGTGGACTTTGACTTTACGATAGATTCTAGATAAGTTTGTGTTATGTTGACACTTTGTTTACTATCATAATATCGCCTCCGCTTGGTTTTGGGGGAAACCTTGTTGCAGCATTGCCAATTTAGGGGTTGACCTCCTCATATCGGGGTTGATTTATCGGTGTTGCCAACTTAACATTCTGACGTTCTCTCGTTTCACTTTTCCCACCTGCGGATCCTGACCTCTGGATTTCAGGAGTGTGGTGGCCGAGTGGATACACCGCTCGTCTCCTGTCCTAAAGGATCTCTGGTTTGCGGTCGGGGCTTCCCCAGTCCACCCAGATGGGAGTG